TTAGCTGTATTAGCTATAAGTGCTATTAGCGTTTTATGTTATAGATAATGTTTTTGTGATATTGCGAATAATATGCTTGTGATGTTGCGAATAACGCTCTTATTAGTATGTTTTGCTGCTCTGCTACTTACCTGCCTACCCTCTTCTATATAGCTAGGGATAAGTTAAGCTAAGTGTTAATAATTAGTTATATTAAGATTTATTTGTTTGTTTTATTAAGATTAGGTATAGGTTAAAGTGCTGCTATTAGGTTTTAGTATTATGAAAAAAAAGTATAGAGTGAACTGTGATACCTATTTATAGAGGTTAACTAGACTGCTAATATATTAATTATTAGGTTATTATAAGTTATTATTAAAATAAAATTTATAAATTTAATAATTTAGTTAGGTTAAAATAAGCTAGTATTAGTATTATTTAGATTATAATACCTCTTTAGAATACTTATATAAATTAGTAATTAGTAATATTATTATTAATTAGTAATATTATTATTAATTAGTAATATTATTATTAATTAGTTTAAACTAAGTAGGTTATTATTAGCAGTTTAAGATTATTTAAACTTAGATTAAATATTTATTAATTTAACTTAGTATTATATAGATTAGAAACTTAGCTAAAAAGAATACCTTACTATTATCTTTAAGTATATTTATAATATAGATATTTTAAGCATAAAAAGTTTAATAAATAATATTTAGGAAGATTTTAATAAATCTTACCTTTAGTCTTTATAAACCTACTCTTTTTTAGGTAGCAGTTTTAATAAATAATATAATTATTTATTATTATTAGTATAATAAGTTAGCTATAAGCTAAGCTTAAGTCTTTTATTAGTAATATAAATTTGCTTATTATAGCTTATCTTTATATATTCTACTTAAATTATCTAGAGATCTTAAATATAAGTAACTACTTATTAAGTTAAGCTTCTATTTAGAGCGCTTTATAGAGAGTTATTAGCTATTTATCCTTAAGCTACTTTAAACTATTACTTATTATACTAAGATATATAGAATTTTTAATATTATATACTAATTATCTATAATATACTTTTAACCTTATTTACTTAACTTCTTATATTACTACTTCTCTTTTAAGTATTAACTTATTTATATTCTTTATAGTAATAAACTTAGATTATTTAAATTTATTAATATATAAAACTATATATATTATAATAGATTTTATTTATAATTAGTAGTATAATATAAAGAATTAGCTTTATTATAAGGGTTAAATATTAAATATTATTAAGTTAGTTTTAAGTTTAAATAATTTTATAGATTCTTATTATATAGGTATATATATTATTCCTCTCTATTAGTTTTAAGAGTAGATATTATATTTTTAGATATAAAGTAACTTTATTTATAATAAGTATATATTAATATTTTTTATATATTATAAATAAGAAGTTAATAAGAATTATAAATAGATCTATAGCTTTATTTAGTCTTAGAGTATAATTATAAATAAAGTTAAAAGTTATTTATACTTTCTAGTAGAAGAATATTAAAAATATTTTATTTAATCTTTTTAATAAAATATATTAATTATTAAGTTACTATAGGTTATTATTAGAATAGAATTTATAAATTTAATAATTTAATTAGGTTAAAATAAGCTAATATTAGTATTATTTAGATTATAATACTTCCTTAGAATACTTATATAAGTTAGTAGTTAGTAATATTATTATTAATTAGTTTAAACTAAATAAGTTATTATTAGTAGTTTAAGATTATTTAAACTTAAATTAAATATTTATTAATTTAACTTAGTATTATATAGACTAGAAACTTAGCTAAAAAGAATACCTCACTATTATATTTAAATATATTTATAATATAGATATTTTAAGCGTAAAAGGTTTAATAAATAATACTTAGTAAGATTTTAATAAATCTTACCTTTAGTTTTTATAAACCTACTTTTTTTTAGGGTTAGGTTTTAATAAATAATATAATTATTTATTATTACTAGTATAATAAGCTAGAAACTTAGCTAAAAAGAATACCTCACTATTATCTTTAAGTATATCTATAATATAGATATTTTAGGCGCAGAAAGTTTAATAAATAATACTTAGTAAGATTTTAATAAATCTTACCCTTAGTCTTTACAGACCTACTCTTTTTTAAGTAGTAGTTTTAATAAATAATATAATTATTTATTGTTGCTAGTATAATAGGTAAAGTATAAGTTAACTAAGTTTATATTTATATATTTATATATTTATTTTTATATTTCTTATAGTTATATAGAAAATTAATATATAAGTATTTAGGTATTTTTAGGGGTTTTCTATTTAAAGAAGAGTACTTAGTATAATTAATAAGTCTTCTCTCTTACCTTATTAAACTAGCTATTATTTAAGTTCTTTATTATTATTATCTTCTTTTAAATCCTCTTTTATTTTATAGTTACTAAGTTCTTAAGTAAGGTTATAAGTTACTTACTTAGTAGAAAAGCTTAAGGTAGGTAATTTAGTAGAAATATAAGAAGATATCTTATATATACTATTTAATAGGTATTAATAGTTATTTTATTAAATAAGAGTAATTAAAATATTATAGTTAGCTATCTAATAGTAAGATCTACTAATAAAAGCTAAAGATTAATATATAGTAATAATGTATTAAGGTTATAATTTAAGTTATAAATTATAAGTTATATTATAAATTAATAGTCAGAAGCTAAAATAATTAGTTTTTAACTTAATAAGTATGTATAATAAAAATAAGCAAAAAATATCCTAAATATAAATATAAAATTAATTACTAAAAAGCTATAGAAGTCTAACTATAAGTTAAGCTTAAGTTATACTATATATAAGTCTAATTTTAAATATATTTCTTTATACTTTAAATTAAGCTAGATTATTCTAATTTAAAATAATCACTTAGCTTCTAAATTATATTAGATTATATTAATCCTATATAATCACTATCTTATCTTTATATAATTTATACTATAGTTCTTTTATTTCTAAATAAGTCTTAGTTATTCCTATAATCTTATAGTATAAATATCCTATTACAGCCGCCTAACGCCTAAGTAGGTCGTTCAGCTGTTATCCTTATTTACAGGTCGTAACAATAAGCTTAATAATGATGTCAGCAGGCTTTATGTTAGTGGCGATATACTTAGGGGTCTTGTACGACGGGTCCTCGGGGTCGACAATGACGGCGAGCTGGCCGCCGTTGCTACCGCAGCTACCCAGAAGGCTTGCCTTGCGCTGCTCCTCGGTAGCGCCGTCACTTCCGTCGATAGCCCGGGCGAGGTCGGCGTAAGTGACGGCGGAGTAGGTGCGCGGGGTGACGTGCTTAGTTAGGGCCATGACAGATTCAGCGCTGAAGAGCAAAAGAGGTCACTCAGCGCAGTCGAAGACGAAGAGCATATTCCACAAGGGGTTGTTATTGGTTTCGCTGAGGTAGTGGGGGTGTTCAGCGGGGTACTTAATATCCTTTGGGTCAAGGTTCTACGAGGTGCCGCCGGCGACGCTGTAGCACACCAGCTGCAGCCCCTTCCGCAGGCGGGGCGGCGAGCATGTAGATTGAGCGGCACGCCCTGGTCGTGTTGGCGCGGGATCACGCTGCGTACGGCGGCGTTAAGGCTAAGGGTGGCGAGGGGCAGGAGGGTCAAAAGATATATGCTGTTAGTGGGGTATGTGAGTTGAATGGCTGACCTGAGGGATGGTGTTTTGGTGTCTGACTTGTCTTTAGGGAAAGGAAGCAGAGTTGTTGACTGGTTATAAACCACTCTATCTGGTTATAAATCCCTCCTTCGTCGTTGTTGTTGTTGTTGCTGGCGCCCGGCTGCGAGATGGGTAGGGGTTCGATGTTCGACTGGATAGAGAGACTTTGGAACGACACAGAGGCTTGATAGGCACATGCAGGTTAGCATGGGCAACTCGAGCTGCCCATGGCAGTACACATTCGCCGATCGCATCGAGACGCAACATCGTTGGGGCGTTGTGAGCAAGGCCCCGAGACTCTACGGTCACTTAGCCTTGGCAGCTCCAAGCGCCTGTTCTGTCGTGGTTGCACCTTTGCGTCTGCAGTTAGGGAAATTATCTAGCGTATCATACTACCTCTTGTGAGATGGAGCAGCGCTGCTGAGGTATGTGGGGTGAAGTGCAGTTCATAAGTTTTCATGTGGGGTATGGGAGTGGTGGTGATGTGTCCTGGCCGGGCTGTCGGCAAGCCGTTCCATTATTAGTCTTAGTCTCTGGCCATTCTTCAAAGTATTACTCTAAGTCTGTTCGTGCATTCTTTGTCATTGCTTTGTTTCCCTACCCGATTTCAAATTGCTGTTCCAGTATGGAAGATCTCCAATCGCTAAACTCCGTATTTCCACGGGGAACACCACAGTATAGACGAAGTCGGGAGCAATACTTCAATAAGGAAGAGACAGAGAGATTTCCTAGTGAGATACACAACGTAACGTCAAGCCAAGGGGTTATTGCGGCCCTTCGTCGAGCGCGAGCCCTTGGAGTCTTAGTGGGCGTCCGGTCAGGAGGCCACCTACCATCGAAGCCATCTTTAGTTGACAAGGGGATCCTCGTTGATACTAGTCAACTAAATCGGAAGGTAGAGTACGATCCCGAAACACATGAAGTCAGCTTTGGTCCTGCAGTCCGTGTCTACGAAGCTTGGAAAGCAACGGATGCGGTTGGGCGATTCTTTCCATTCGGCCACGCACCTGACGTTGCACTTGGCGGCTTTTGCCTCGCAGGCGGACAAGGCCTGTTTATGAGAGGATGGGGGGCTACGATCACTGAATGGATCGTGAAATTGGAAGTCATCGTGCCCGACGGTCGCGTCCTTCTTGTGAGCCGAGACGAGCACTCTGACATTTTCTGGGCAGCGCGGGGTGCAGGCCAGGCGTTCTTCGGCGTCGTGACAAAGATATGGAGTCGAACTATTCCCAAGCGACAGTTGTTTTCCAGATCCTTTACCTTCAATGTGGGAAATGACTTCGAAGAACTCCTCATGTTCGCCTTCGACCGGAACAAGGCGACCCCGAAAATGTTCACCGAGACCGCCGTTTGCATTATGCACCCGGAACTGCTTGACACCTCGGCCGAGGAGATACTCTCCACATCCTCACCATTGTTGCTGTCGATCAATGTTCTGGCCTACTCCGATTGCCTGGACGATGCTGAAAGTTTGCTGAGCGCTTGGAATTCAGTGCCAGCTGACCTTCAGAAAGCTATTATCGAAGTCCAGCCTACCAATCATACGGCCTGGGACGACTTCTTTCACCTGCAGCGTCAGATCAACCCCGACAATCCCGAACAGAAATGGGGTATACATAGTATTCTCAATGATCCATCGGTGTCTGTTTCAGAGGTAGGGAGTGAATCCAAGTTCCCAACCCTGCGCTGAAGTATTCTAACTAGGATCATTACAGCTGGTCAGGGCCATCAAACCTGCAATGTGCGACCTACCCACCAAGTCCTCGTTTGGTTGCATTTATATGTGCGACACTTTGACTCCGGACGAAAACGACGCCGTCTTCAGTCTGCCGCAGCAGTACTACATCTCAACCTTCAGTGGCTGGAAGGATTCGGCACTGGTGCCAAAAGTCCGCGACACGATGAGGAGAACGTACGAGATAGCCTCCACAGTTGCTTGCGGCATGTACATAGCCGACTACGATCAATCACCTGGGTCGCTTCATTCTCCAAAGGTATGTAGCAAGCTCCAGCATTAGGGGTAAAGATTGACGTCATTGGTTAGATCAGAGTTTGGACCGACTCGGCCCGTGAACGATTCACGAAAATTCGACAGCGGTGGGATCCTGATGGGTTGTTTCGAGGGTACAGAGCATTCGAACCTGAGGATCATGCCATCAAATGAACTCTATGAGGGCACAGTCATTGTTAAACTTAGACAATCGCATTTCGTTACTCTCAAAGACCTGACTCATTATGAGGCGGCGTGCTAACAAGGTTTTTGCTCTCAAGATAGCCATTATACTTGATCCGCCAGTCGTTCACATTTTAGATGACAACTTTGAGTTTGTCTCCCAACTATTTAAGCGACTTTAAAGCGGCTTGCCAGTTTCATTCACGCAGAAAATCCTGTATCATAGCAGCCGAGTAGTTGGCGGACAGCTATCGAGCTAATAATATTCATTTTCTATCAACTAAGAACTCTAGAATTCCGCTCAGCATTTATCATCTCAATCATTCGCACCTTATGGGTGCTTTCATAGTGAGGAAAATATATCACAAATGCAAGAAGCCTGCTTTCTGAAGCTTTCTACGGCACATATGTTGCTTTTTAGGATCGATGGGTGCAAACACTCAAAATTCCAAATACCCGATTTTGCTTGATGCGATTAATGGATTCCAACAATAAAATATTTGCAACTACACTCAGAATCCGTAGTTCATGCCCGCAAGGTCTGTTTCGGCCTCAACGTACTGTCGACGGATAATACCCTCATGGGCGGGGGATCGACACAAGATATCGCACAAAAACGGCTCCGGAACACTCAGAAATCCAGGCATCATTCTTGTCGTTGGGACCACCACCAACCCGTCTGAACGTAATTTCTTTTTGATGTCAAACCCCCACAATGTACGAGCAATGACGATGAACAGCGACTTTTCTGCCAAGTGAACTCCGGGGCATGCCCTCCTGTATTTTTGAGTCAGTGTTTAGACTACCACTGAGTTTTGGGTTTCTTGCCTTCCTGCGCCGTATGAGAAATGATCTCTGTCATAAGGGTCTGGCGCATTCATGTACTCGGCTGCTGTGAGAGGGTGCTCAAGAAAGCGCGCAGGTTCAAAGATGTCTGGCTGTTCAAATCGACTGGAGTCCCGTTGAATAGCCCTATTTTGGATGACCACATCAGCCAGATAGTCTTGCAAAAGATAGGCAAAGCGTACCACCAATTCAACACTACCGTTGACCCTTTTGGAATAAAAAAGCCATCATACCAGTCATCCTCGGTAGAAGCATGGTACATTCCAAACTTATTGACAGGCCGCCATCGCAACGTCTCTTTGATCATTGCTCGAATGTACGGAAGGTTCTTTTCGTCGTCCCAAGTCGGCAGCCGGCCAGATCCAACAACGCGATCCAGTTCTTCTTGGCCTTTTCGCATGACGTCGGGAAAGAGTATCATTGCAAGAGTCCAATTGTTGATTGTCGTGGCTGTTGTTTCTGCCCCAGCCTCTACTAGGCCACCGCATGTGTAGGCCGCCAACAGGTCGTCTATGCCATTCTTCTTTGGATCACCGAGGTAGAAGTCCTTACAGAAGCAATCTCTCGCGCTTCCATCGTCTGTAGTTTGTTTCAGAGTTTGCCAGAGCTCCAGGTAAACTTTGCTGTCATGTGCGAACGCATTTCTGCCCCAAGTCCTCCAGTTTCCAAAGAAGCGTTCTGGAAGTCTAGCCAATGCCGGCAGAACCTCAACAGCAAAAGCTCCAGGCGCCATCATTACTGACAAATGTTCCAGAACAGTGAAGATCTTAGTTATCAGAGGGTCTTGAAAGGAAGGAATGCGATAGCCGTACGTAGCAAGCAATATGACGGATGTCGAATATCTCCGGTTGATGGTGTAGAATTGATCTGGCTGATTGAGCAGGTCCTGTAGTAGTATCCTTGACTCCAGCTCTTGTGTCGATTGGTATTTCTTTGTGGCATTCAGATTGAGAAGACTGTGACTGTGTTTCCGCAGATTTCGCCAGTCCTGACCGTAAGCCATGAAAAGCTGGCGAGATCCACCGCTAGCCACATCTTGAGCTAAAGGTAGATGGGGCCGTGACGAATAGATCGCAGACTTTTTGTCCATTAAGTCCTTAACAGCCTTGGGAGATGACAGCCAGACGTAATCTGTAGCCCCGACCTTGGTGTAGAAAACATCGCCATAAGTCTGATGCCAGTTGCGAACCTTCTCTCTGACTGATTCAGAATCTGCTAGATCAAACAAATTGCCCACGATCGGCAGTCCTCGTGGCCCTGGAGGCAGTTTTCTCCTTCGTGAGTCCTGAAAAGTGATTCCCATCAGCACAGGACTGCGGGGTAATACCCGAGCCACACTTACGGTTATCCGATTGGGGACCAAGCACAAGTAAATGCTCGTGAGAGCAACAATAAAAGCAATCGTTAAGTGCCAAACCACGAAATCCGAATTCCAAACCCGAAAGAAGGCGGGGAGGGACGAGGGCTCGTGTTGCTGGAATTTCATCGTTACTGAATTTTAAGGTCGTTGAGATAGCTTCGAATGTCGACGCAAAACCTCCAGCACGAAAGTTATGTTTTGAAGTTCGCTCGGAGCAGGAGTAGGGAGTCGACATTAATTTACCCCAGACTCCCCCATACTCTCTGCTCGCGTAGTGAGTGTGGAGTGGGGAATCCAGTTTCAACGTAGAATGTCCTCGCATGTGGGGAGCACCAACTCTTCCAGAAGCGCAGATTCGTAAGAAACCCGAGATCATCTTATGGAGTGCTATGGCTCGATACGTAAGCTTATCCAAATTGCAGGATATTTGTTTCTTAGCCTCGCGGAAGCTCATTAAAAAAGACGCAATATTTAGGAGGCTAAGATTCACTAGACTTTGAGTCGCCTCCTTGGGTCAGATCGTAATTGTAAGCTCAAATCTTTCAACAACATAGTGGTACTTCACGCGATATCTATCATATGGTAGGCAGCAGGCGATTTATTCCACAAAGCACAATATGATTTCTCCCTGTGGCCTAAGCTGGAGCAGTGAATTTATTAAAACAGATGAACAACTACTCTTGGCTTCAGTGTCGCATGGTCGACATAATTTACTGGCGCTTGCGAGCCTTACGACTTGTTTCCTTTCTCTTCATTGAATGCCAAGATGACCTTCTCGGCAACCTTGAAACCCTCAATTCCAGCTGGCATCCCACAGTAGATAGCAGCCTGAAGTAGTGTTTCCCTGATCTCGACTTCGCTGGCTCCGTTTCGAAGAGCCCCCCGAACGTGTGCTGCGAGTTCCGGCGCCCTATTCAAGGCACATAACATGGCAATATTGAGCAACGACCGCTGCTTTCTTTCGAGACCAGGCCTCGACCACACCGATCCCCAGCAGGCCTCAGTCACCAGCTCTTGCATTGGCCGCGCGAATTCGGAGGAACCTCCGGTCAAAGCGGAGTCCACATATGAGCGACCGGCAACCTCGTATCGTATTTCAAGCCCTTTGTCGTAAAGTGTTTTGTGGGCGGACTGTTCAATTTGAGTGATGTTTGTCTTTTCTGACGTCATGTCGATTATTGACGAGGTAGGAGGTTCTGGGTAAGCACGATTGCTAGAAGACACGACTTGAATTTGCTGATCGAGGACTTTGTTCAACACAAGATAACTGTAGTGTATCACTTCATCGGCTTGAAAAACAGATGTAGCCACGGATAGTAATGAGAGACCTAGTGACAGCAGCTCCGAGTCGAAGAAGGGGTCCTCGACAGAATTCTGAGCCGGCATTGGCATCTCTGAAGACTTTCGAACAAACCGCTCTAACGCTACGCTGTCTCTTCTATGTGGGGAAGACGTCTGTGGTAATTAACGGAGGGCATCTCATACACTCCGTTGCGTTGACAGCGTCCGCCCCCCTTTTTTTTCCCCGCTTATGCAAAAACATGAAAAAAAGCCAATTTTACGCTGTGACGCGCATTTCTCTGCATCGCACGCAAAACGCGTCAAAGTCATCACCAACACCTCAATTGCCGTCAATCACTATAGTCCCAGTAGTATTCAAACGTATAACTACACGATAGAGACATAAGGTGTGTATTTCATGCTTCCGTAGCAGTCAATCTACCCATCGAGGCATTGCCAACCCAGCTAGTCACCTCATCCCCATACCATTCGACCAACAAAAGGTCTATTTTCGTCATGAGAGATCAAGATGACATTTGCTGAGGAACAGAAGAAGAGACCTGCTGTATGACTTTATATATCTACTCAGCATACGGTTTGTATGGCTCTGAGTAATATATAAGCATACCAAGGGGCTTGATACGGTTCTTCAGAGCAAATGCTTTGGCAGTCAACAGGATTAATGACTCTCCTGATAGCTCAGCTTGTTCACGATATTGAGCAAGAGTCTACTGCTGTATAGATTGTGCCCTGTTACTTACAGTTTGCCGCTGGTCAGTACATGTCCGTGGTTTATTATATCAGATACATCGAGAAAGACGCCGGGCGACGACGACGATACAATGGCGCCCAGAATATCGAATCTACAGCTATCGACGATCGCGATGATACTGCCATTCGAAGACCAAAAGACCCACGAGCTGGCAAGTATCGTTGGCTGTACCGAACGAACGATTCGACGACATAGATCACGACGTAATATCACTGGCGAAGTGCAGAGATATAAGAGGTGCCGCCAGAGTCGACAAAAGATGGAAATATGGCATCGTACAGAGCTTCTTGAACTACTGCAGTACCGCAGCGATCTATCTCTTGAAGAGATGCAAGATTTCCTATTTGAAGCCTTCGAGATCCAGATCAGTCGTTCTGCAATCAGTCGACAGTTAAACTCAGCTGGCTGGACGAACAAGAAGTCCAAGATTATTGCTGCTCAGCGAAGTGACGAACTACGATACGAGTACTTGTACCGTATACGACGATATCGCCCCGACCAGCTGGTATTCGTCGACGAATCCGGCGTCAATAAGGATACTGGGATACGGAGGACTGGATGGGCGCCGAAAGGGCTTGCTGCGTTTCGAACTGCAGAGATTGATCGGTTTCAGAACTCTCGCGTACAGATCCTGCCAGCCCTCACGTTGAGCGGTATCCTACACTTGACTACGTATTATGGTACGACTGACGGCGATGGGTTCTTTCGTTGGCTACAGGAGTGCCTTATCCCGAAATGTGGGCGTTTTCCAGAGCCAAACTCTGTCATCGTTATGGATAACCTCTCCTGCCATCGTATACCTGAAATCGAGGGTTTATGCCGGGTATCAGGTGTCCATCTCGAGTTTCTGCCTCCGTATTCACCAGACTTCAACCCCATCGAAGAGTACTTCGGCGATCTAAAGCGATACATCAGGAAGACGTATTCGAAGTGGAACAACGATGAGAATGACACTCGGGATTTCATGGAATATCTACGTGACTGCGCTATGGAGATTGGGTATCGTCTACCCCAGATCGAGGGCCATTTCCGCCATTCGTTCGTCAACTTTGATGGGACAGAGCATATATTTGACGATATCGAACTATAAAAGGGAGGATTTGCTGCCAATATTGAACATCAGCAAGCAATCCAAATTTTCATCGTGCGTTCGCGCGCAATAGATCTTAATCGTGTCGTCATATGATGGTCAATCATCAAATCCATGATTGTAGCCAACAAGATTGCCAAAAGGTTAGCCACAAGCGCACCAGAACACAAAAAATATACCGTCGTCCATTGTTTTCGTCGGTAGCTACGTATACATATCAATTTTGCCTGTATAACGGCTGAAACGCGTTGTTGATGCTTGTGACGATGATTTGTGATGATGACACGTCATCACGATCAGAGACTTCAACCATAGTCAGAGACTTCAACTGCCCCTAACCAGTATCGGGATGGACCGAAGTGTATTGTTTGCAGATCCAAAATAACAGTAATTCTATTGCTTTTATACGTATAGAGCGGCAGTGTTGAATCTACGGCTATGGGTAGACTTTTCCGTGGTTGAACACGTCATGCAAAAAAATCGCGCATACAGTCAAACTTCACACCACTCTTGCTGTATCACTCTTCTTCGTTATCCTCCTCCGAGTAATACGTCTCTGTTGACGACGTATCACTCGAGATTTCAATCTGATTGTCCTCATCGCCTTGCTCGATTTCGTCTTGTTCGATCTGTAACTGCGTGGGCAGCATCTGCGACGCTGACAGCAGTGGTGACGAAACGAAACCAAAGAGTTCCGAAACGCCTACAAAGTTAGCCATATTCGACAGTAAACAGCTCTATATACACTCACCACGTCGACCAACTTCAACTGGCGTACCACGGATCTCTTGCTCGATGGATTGACGTGGCACTAGGGCGTCGATATGTCGGGATGACCCCAACTCGCCTGAAACTAGCGCCGCAGAGTTTTCAACTGGCGCCGCCGCCGTCCCTCCTGGCAATCCAGCGTATATTCTTGTATAAACATCTCCTTCTGACTCTCGATGGTTTGAATGAAGTTCAGAGTGAGATACCACGTCGGAGAGGGCGTCAGACTGCCCTCCGTAGTAGGCGCTGTTGTCTATGAAGGATTTGATCGAGTTCCTGACATCTTCGGTAAGATCTTGAGTAAAACCCTGTTCAGTAAACCAAATATCTGGTAACTTGCGAATTGCCCGCAAGCTACTGTCTACTGATCGCAGTTTCTGTAGCTTCTTTCTGAACCCTTCGTCGACGTTATATCGCTTGCCGCGGACGGATATAAACCACTTGATGAAGCTGGCCACTTGATCTAGAGCTTTTCGAGGCGAATCCGGTACCACTGGCGAGGACGAACGAATCGGGAGTGCGATACTTGGTTGACGAGTGCTTGGAAGGTTCAATGGCGGAAGAGTTGGCAACGAATACTGTGAGATGTTCGCATATGGCCAATATGCCGGCGGCGGCGGCGCCGGCGGCGGCAGCTGTACGTATGGGTTAGGATATTGAAGATGACGATCTGGCGCCCCCGCGTTGCCGTATATATTGACGATGGCGTTGCTGTTGGCGTTGGTTAGGCCAGATCTTGACCCTGATGATGGAAGTGCGGCATTTTCAGCCTTCTCTTCCGTCATCACTGTCGTCTCCTGGTTATCATCAACCTCCACGATATTCTTACTTCTCTTGCCCTGGCGTTTCTGATCCTCTATAAACTGGTCGTGAAGAATCTCACCAAGCAGTTCTTTAGGTGGTTCCATATTGTCAACGCCAGCCTGTCCAGTCATAATAGCCTTCGCCCACTTCTCTATATGGTGAGATTTGATCTTGTAGTGCTTCTGGCCTAGTATATAGCACCAGTTGAACTTCTCGTCGCCCGAACTATTCTTACATCTCTGGTACTCTGGGCAGATGTGCGTACGGAGAAGTTGTCTGTGCATACCCTCCTTCCGACGCTCGACGTTTGCAGGATCGTTAGCCTCACGATCGATCGCCTCTTGCATGCCGGCTGAAACGCCTGCTCGGCCACCTTTTCGAGGCGTTCGTACGCCAGTCACTATACCACCAGAGATTGGTACGGCGCTGTATTGCCACTTGACGGTGAGGTGGACTTCACCCCTCTCTTCAGCTTGTTCAAGAGAGGGGACAATATCAACCCATGGAATACTTGGCCAAGTGACCCCTCCAGTAGACGGATAGACCCGAGTGAAGATTGGTGTTGGTTTAGATGCGTTGGTGGGCTTCCTCCAAGCAACGACAACAGCGATATTGGCCTTCTTCACAATATACGAGTGAGCCACTTCTGCCTCAAGTTGGGCGCCGCTGTCTGCCTCCCAGTCTCTACTATTCGCATCTAATACAGGAGCAATACTGAATCTGTTATACGCGATGCTCTCGATGGTTAGATCGAGAACAGGTAAACCGTTACCCTTGAGCGCTGGGCCACGGGTAACCTGGATTTGTAGCAGAGTTGGTTCCTCGTTACCCATATCGTCCTCCTCTTCAAATACATCGTGGAACGACATAAACGTATCATCAGCGCTATGGCGAGGGGCCGTAGGCGTATCGTCCGCAAATCGAGTGGTTTGACGAGGGGTTGGGTTAACTGGGGTCGAGTCTGGTCGAAACGGTGGCATCGACGAAGGCAGAGTACTTCGGAGCCGGATCGTATGCGGCGGATCCTTCTTTCGCTTCCTCTGCGTTGTCGTTGCTTTTTGGCGAGAGGACGCTTTTGGAGCTCTTCGTGATGACGGAGGGGCTATAAGTACACGCTTTCTTCGCGATGTAGACTCAGCCGCCACCAAATCATTAGTCTCGGGTCCAGCCTCGGCGACGATAACCTCCTCGGCGGCCTCCTCGGCGGCCTCTTCGGCGGCGGCAGCCCGGCGAGCCCTCTCGGCGGGCGTAACGATCCTGATCGACGGCGAGGCAGAGCGTTGAGGAGGATCTCTGGCGGCGTCCTGTGCCAGTTGTTGTATACGTCGTTGTTTCCGCGTACCGTTGGCGATGGGTGACGGACGATGCCCAGAAGGGTCATCATCCGCCTGCCGAGCCGCGCGGCGGCGTTTAGGAGGCATCACGATGCCCTCAGATAATGAGATTCAATAGAAATAGATCAATTGAAGCCATCAGAATAGGTCAATTGCCGTACTACGAATATCTACGTGGCGTTGGGCAAATTTTCATGTATATACAGGGATTATGCGTGCGTAATTTCGGCAAAAAGGGGGGGCGGACGCTGTCAACGCAACGGAGTGTAATGTGGAGAAGACAGCCCCGCGCTTGACGGCGTACCCGACCACGCGCAAATTGGACTATGCACCCCACGTTTTGTGAGTTTGGCAGTCACAGTGCAAACAAGGCGACTCAACGAGAAAAAGATGGAGACAGTGGCTTAATCCGACGTCCTTTTGAGGCTGCACTTTGACTACGATACTCTTGAAAGTGAAATGCCTGATAGACGGATAATGAAATGCGATGGAAACTACATCGCCTCCCCATGCGCAGCACCTCGTATGTCAGCGCTACGATTCAGAAGCAACCATCAGCGAGAAACAGGCGTTTGGCTTTTCTTAGAGTCATCCTCCCAATCTTCCTGGCCTCCAATATGCCTGAAAAGCACTCGAGAGTCTAGATCTCGACACTCTGCGGATTGGCTCGCCTTAGTGTATGCCTCTAGGCCAGCAGTCCCCAACAGCAGCTTTGCGCCGACTGTTTCTGCAGTCGAAACAGCTAACCCAAAGTCCTTTGCCATCAATTGCACTTTGAAGCCGCCCCTATATCCGTGACTGGACGGTGCATCTGGGCATATGCCAGGAACAGGATTGAACTTGTCGCAGATTGTGCTCTGTGCCGTGCTTTTGGAAAACACCCGAGAAAGTAGCCGTGGATCCATACCTGAACGCATGCCAATGTTCATGGCCTCAGCTGTGGCGAGTGAAATGAGTCCAGAGCAATAGTTATTGCACAGCTTTGCGGTGAGACCCATGCCGGGGCCCCCGCATGCGATGATATTCTTGCCCACGAGTCCCAACAAACCTTCGACGAGTGACCAATTACTATCGTTCTCAGAACAACCAACCATGAGGGTGAGAGACGCTGCCACTGCACCAAGAGTACCTCCTGACACCGGGGCATCATAGAACGCGACGTCAGGGAAACGCGACTTGACTGCAGTGGACACTGCGAGAGACGTCTCAGTGTCAATGGTAGAGCAGTCAAGAAGCAGGCGAGCGGACATCTTCGAATGCAGGATGCCGTCAACAGGATCCAGGTAGACGGCTCTCACGTGGGAACCTTCTGGCAGCATGGTGAAGATGATGTCCTACAAAGGTCGTTAAGTAATGCCCGTTGACTGATATTGGGTCAAACCTTACTGTTCCTTGAGAAACCTCTTTCGGTGAGTGACAGATTGATACCGACTGCCCGTGAGCTTCGACGAAAGATTTCATAGCTTCCTGCGAGACGTCGTAGATGCATATCTTATAATCCTGAGCCAACTTCGCGGCAAGGTTGGAAGCCATGGGAGCACCCATTGCACCAAGACCAATAAAACCCAGACGGTGATACATTTCCATTATGCAAGTATTAGATAAAGAAATCGTCACCGGTGTTCGATGGCGGTGCGTTTAGAAAGTGATGTCGTTAGATGGTGAGTGGCGACTGGCTTCGAGAAGGAAGGGTGCAATGTGCTCCCTTTTAGGGGCTTCCCGGACGGCGGGGTAAGTAACATCCAATACTTACCTACAGCCAGACGCCCACCACACATTGTTCTGCTTACTCACATGTCAAATTTCTCACATTTTCTCTGTCCGATTTTGGCTGTGGGGGCACGGATTGCTCATTCAAAAACTCATACTCGTATGCCGTTAGATTGTTCCAGGGAAGAAAGCGGTCTTATGAGTATTTGTCCATTCCGCGTCATGAGCAAATATAACTTCCAAAGACATGCCGCTTGTCTTGAAGGCCTCCGTCCACTCCGAAATCTTTCTAAGAGTTTCGGCAGCCTTTATTTTGTCCATGTGGATACAGCACGTCCGTCCTGTATCATCTGTCCATTCTGCAATGGGTTCCCTTCCATGAAGCAAACGCTGGTCATGACAGGCATCTCCAATAAGTAAAGCCCATTTCCCAGTGCCTATTCGTGCTAAAAGGTTGATGTGGCCGATTAGATGACCGGGCGAGTCGACAATGTAGAGTGAGCCGCTGTCGCTACCTCCAAAATCGAAGATCTTCAGCCCTCCAATGTCGTGCCAGCTATCATTCAATTCAGATGCCATCTTTGCGGGGCGCGACAACTCTTTAACTTCGACGTTGTCGAAGAGGTTGATTTCAAAGTTAGAGTGAGACAAGTGCCTGTTCAGGCCGGTCTTAAGCAGGTCGAGAGATCCCGCACCGACGAAGAATTCTGCTGCGGAAAAGTCGGATGGCGTTCCGATATGATCCCAGTGAACATGGCTGAGCACGACTTGATTGATACTTCCAGGACTCAGACCACCTTCGAGCAGGCTCTGGCGCACGTCTGGGAGCGGTAGTATTGGTTGCCGACTTTTTAAATGACGTTGTATCGGTTCCGAATAGTTGCCAGTGTCGCGGCGGAGACCCAGGTCAAATAGAATGCGCCTAGCGCCATTTTTGTTGCATTTCTGTACGATCAAGAAGGAGAGTGAAGGCACCAGAACCCTCTCTGTGGGGGAAACCCCTGACACAAAAAGACTACTGGGAAGGGTGAATTCACCGCCACGCAGAGCGGAAACGCTGACGATGCCACGGGCCGAGGCCTCGAGAGCAAGTAGGGACGATTTGAGAATGTCGTTGTTTGATGTCATTGTTGAGTTGAGTAGGGGCCTTGGCGGGCACACAAGCAAGGGCTTGAGGATATATTTTATGTACTCTTGTGTGCCAACGCGGGGTAGGCGTCACCAACGTCATTTGACGGTGCGCGTTGAATTAAATCAACTGCTCCTTGTCTAGTTAAATAATGTTCCCTGGGAAACTCATGACGTTGCGAACAAAGACATGAGCACTCGACTCGATGCCCGCCAAAGTATGCAGCTTCCCAAATAACAATCTCAGACCGCCGAGGCACTCACTGCCCCCCTCCCCACATACAATTTCCAACTCGTTTCTGTAGATGAACCCTGCCAACCCACCAGTACCCCACACTATGCCTCGTTTGAACGCCTTCGTAAGATGATATTAAGTGAGCTTCACTATTTGGCCATTCATGAGATTCCATAGCGAAACTCAGACATGTTCCACCCATTTTCCAATGTCAAAGATTACAGCTGGCACGACTGCCTACATAAATGCTTTCGAAGCGGTCTCTGCTTTCCAGCCCGCCTAAGCACAGCTGTGAATGGTCAACCACATGCCCTTTGGCTGCATCAATTATACGGGTGTACGCAATTGCCAGACGATTGAGTGCTTCTCCCATTCGAGGCGTAATCCCCCAGATCCAGACCTATGTCGCTAATGTTAAATATGCAAACCTTGCCGTCAATTCTGGACACTTACATCGTGCATGAACCAACCCCAGGTCTTGGCCACGGCCGCCGATAAGCACGAAGCTTCACTCAGTTCGCATTCTGCTTCTTCGAGAGCCTCTCTGATGATGGTAAGCAGCTTGCTTTCGGCCGCAGTCGGCTGTATGCCAGCAAAGACACCAATCTCTATGGAATAGACCCATTTAGACACAAGAATTGCTATCGAATATTTCAGTTCAACTTTCATGGCCCTGTATCACTGTGTATGCTCTTACCGCTTGACCATCCTGCTACTGCGTGCTCCACGCTCCAACGAAATGCTGCTGTCTTTCGTACAAGCAAGTGACCAATTTTGACTGGGATCTTGAAGCCTTCGAAAGATTTTGAAATGATATCGAGTAATTGTGGGCTGCGTTCCATTTTCGCAGTCACAAATGAAGATATTGCCGCGTCCACATCTGCATCATCTGTGTTCATGAGGCTAATTCTGATCGAAGGGCCAGCAATGCGGGTGTAAGCAATTCGCAATATAGCCTGGCAATTAAACACGAGGGAGCATTCTTGGTCCTTTTCATGCTCGTCAGCATCCGCATGTGGAAGCTCACTCCTGACTCCTTGAAGAAAATCATCGCATCGAGCCAAAGACTGCATGGCGCTTCGCAGCAATGATGAGCTGAGGGGGTCGTGTTCAGAGCTGGAAGAAAACAACGAAGTTGTTGATGTGAGCGCTTGGCATACTTGGAAACGCTGCCACATGTGTACCACCAGCGCATGTACAGCAACGAGAGCGGTGAGTGGCGATACGTGGTAAGGCATGATGTTTGCGTGATACTTCCCTTCGAGTAAAATGTCCACTAGGACATCTTTGATGGTGTGGCGCCTGCTTTCTTTCTTCGTTCCGATGCTGATGTATGTTTCTCTCCAGTCATCAGGGGACCCCGCATTCCACAGGATTTCATCGCTATACACTGGGATGTCCAGGTCTTGAGTTGCGTGAAACCCCGGGTTAACTTCGTATATGACCATTGTCAACGTGCTTTCGATGAATATGCCGCCTATCAATCGTTTCCATGATTCAAGCTCGATCCATAATTGCCAATCCATAGTGTCTGATTCAGGGGCGCCTCCCGCTACAGCTGCTCGGGCTTTGCTGTACACCTAGCTCTCGGTCAGAACAAAAGAATCCTCACGAGAATTGGGTGAATAGCAATATATCGTACCAAAGTGTAAAATCCGTTGTCTCTCATGGTATCGTTGACAAGTTCTCTATCACCACTCATTATGGCGAAGAAACTAAGCAACACTCGCGTCTGAACAGTCCAAAGAGCATAGTCCTTTACAACAGCTCGTCCATCAGCAGGTAATGGGTTTTTAATCTGCTGGAGCGGAGATCAAGGTTAGCAAATATGTCTCACACACCTTCATCAAATGGCCAAGGGTATTCGTGTAGTTTAACTTACATCTCCTGAGCTCTGCTTTGCCAAATTGTACATCATTCTAGCCCGGCGACGATCGAGACGATAGAGCGCACCAATAGCACATATTGCGAGGATCAGGGGGCTTGGAACTTGTTGCAGTTCCAGTGTCTGAATGTGAATGAGAGGGAAGTGGATGTGAAAGCATGTGATGTAGCTTGACAAACAGCTTTGGAGAAATTTGGCGGCGGGAATGGGAATGCTCTGGTCTGGGTTTGGCAAGCGACGGAAAAGGTCTTGTTGAATGCGCTCCCAGGTTTCGTCACTGATTGTAAACGTTGGGCATGGGGGATGTCCGTCCTCGGAAAGAGACGGCAGATCGGACGCACGTTCCGTCCCTCGCACTTCCGTTGGACTCACCAAGGGCACGCTTGAAGGCCCAACAACAGCCTGGGCGCCTTTCCGGGAGTTTGGCGAATAGTCTCCAATAAAGCCAGATGTAGCAAGGCCACCAGTCTCTACTTGAAGGCGATCCTCGCTGATATCGCCAGCCTGGCGAGTTAAAGAAGCGAATTCGATTGCAGTAAGATTTAGCTCTGCCATTGTGTTTGGTGAGAAGACAAACGATCCTGGATCGTTATGCATCGCGACAGAGCGATCCGTGCGCTGATCCGTTCCTCCTGGGACATGTTGGCGAAGTACTTCCGTTGGTTCGTGACTGGGTACGTTTGCCGACGGTCCTGGGAGCCCAAAGTCCATGTCCATCTCTTGGCCAATATCTGAAAACAACGCCGGGTCAATCATGTCCAGTTCTAACACTTCTAGCTGGTGTGGTCGCGGATCAGCGGTATGTGGGCTGGAAGACTGGGTCTGCGCCCTTCTTGAACCATTCGAGCATTCTTCAGAGGTTTCGTCACACCTCTGACCTGGCAACCTTGGTTCTGACTCTGCTTGGACGATGCCTTCCAAAATGACGTCGCGGTCTTCCACGCCAAATGGAGAGGCTGTTTGAAAATTTGCTTCGAATCGACCGGTAATGGGAGAGGAGGCTGAAGAAGCTACGTCGTTACGTGGAGACTGGTACTCGAGGGACTCTGGGTAAGACTGTCTTTCCAGATCTATCTCTTCGCCGTCCGAAATATCGTCGCTAACAGGTGTCTCGTGGTTCGTTGCTTGCGTCGATAGTGAACATGCCACTGTCACCTCGTCGGCGATCTTCTCGTTGTTGTGCGACTTCGCATGTAGAGTGCGCTCGTGTCTTGTTACCAAATCTCTGGGCACCAGTGGCACTTTAGTGAACTGTTATCCACGAGAGTGACAGGATCAAGATGTGGATCCACATACTTCCTTCCATAAGACTTGTGGCAGTACCGGCAGATATATGGCTTCTCTCGGGTATGGGTGCGCTGGTGTCGAATGCAATGCTCACTGCGCTTGAACGCTTTTGGGCAGTATCCGCACTTGTACTGACGCTGGGGGCGGCCTCTCCGTGCGACCGCAGCTGGGTGATCATCGTTTGGCGACATAAGCAAGCTGGGTTGTTCGTTCTCAGGTTTTCGATGCAAGCGCTGTTCGAGGCTTTCAGATAGGGCTAGAGACTCGGAGGATGGCGGTGGCTGCTCAAGTTGTGACGATGGCGAAGTTCGTGTTCGACACTCAACGTTGCGGGGTGTCGGGTTGTGCAGTTGCCGAGCGAGTCCGGGGCAGCTTACGCAGAACAAGGGTTTGCCTAGCTCACACACTCATAGGTGGGCCAGCCCCCCTGTACTATGGTATCAGGCCAAAATAAAACCACCCTATCAGATATCTATAGGCTGCACCCACCTCAACCACCACACCCCCCAACTATACCCTTTTTAGACAGCACTAATCCTAAAAAGGTAATTTTAACCCCTCACCACCTTAGCTACCTTTTTTTACTACTAGCCTACTAATTATAAATTATTCTGCCCTCTTTAAAGCCCTCTAATTAACTTTAACTCTAATAACCTTAAAAACCACTCTTTTTTTATTATAATAGCTTAACTAAAAAGCTCCTACATAAAATAACTATTAAAAGTTAAAAAAACATAAATTCACACACTTTATAATAATACTAAGATAACTTATACTAAAATTATTAAAATTACTAATTTTTTAAGGGAATAAGTCTATAAAACTTACACTATAGCCTCTATAATACCTATACTACACCCTAAGCGCCTAAGAGTAATAACCTCTAAACAGGAAGCATAATTAGTTAAATATATTACCTCCTCCTAAAAAGGCTATAAAGCTACCTTCTTATAATTATCTATTATTCTTTTTAATATAGTTTTTAAGGTCTTTACTATATAGGTAGCTTTATATTAACTAAGCTTTTAGTAGTATATTACCTACTATAAGCCCCCTATCACTAAAGCTAATAGATAAAAACACCTCACTTAAGCTCTTAAGTATATTAATTAAACTATTAACTAGTAGTATCATATCCTATAAACTAATAAAATATAGATTACTAATAGCTACTACTAAAAGCAGTATATTATTTACTAACTTAAGGAAAAATAAAATCCTATTTATATTATTAAAAAGCATCTTAAGAAAAGTAGCTAGATATTCTAAAAATATTTCTATAGATACTATAAAAACCTTAAAGTCTTCTAAGAGAAAGATTAAAACTATATTAATACTACTAATTACTAATAATATATTATACCTATTATTAATAACTAGCTTCTCTAATACTACTAGAGATATAATAAGAACTTTATTTTTATATAGAATAGCACCTTAAATCACTCTACCTAAAATATAAAGAAAGAAATAGCTACTAGAGGGATCTAATAAGTAGACTAATTACCTTTTTCTCCTAACCTCAACCTAATTAAGTCCTATTAGAACTAAATAAAAGATTATATTAAGGAAAACTATAGCTTAATTAAGAAGCTTAGTTATCCTTAACTATAATAATAAGTTAAGGAGGTATAAGAAGCCTTTCTAGAGTCCTACCTTAAAAAGCTTATTTATAGTATATTAGTATATTACTAAGTAGTTATTAATACTAATAGTATATATATAAAGTACTAAAATAGTAATATAAATCGTCTTTTTTTAATATACACCTATTTTTCTGCTAAATTTGCTACCTTTCGCTATTATTATAGCCTAAAATATCATTAGTTAGTACCCCCCTACCATATCCCCTATTTCTAAGCGCTACTATCTCCACTAGTTTTACTTACCCATAACACCATAGTAGATAGCACAGTGGCAGCTGCACCCCAGAAGGCACAGTTGGAAGTTAGCTAAACTTGGTGGGGGCGAAATGCGGGGAAAAGATGGGGACTGCGCGGCAAAGTCACTGTTCGAGTGATGATGGTTTGCTAAATGTCTAGTGCTACTGGTCTTGCTTATCACTTCTCTGAGACTCTCGCTGGTTGCGACGGAACATGGGCCAACAGCTTACAATCGACTTCGTAAGATGTTCCTTCACGGCCGTTCATGAGCCCGGATCCTCGCAAGACACGATTCATCAAATCCCGGATGTAAGATTGACATGAGAACCTCATCCTCGCCATTTTTGATAAACTCGGCATCATGAGCCATGGCGATATGCATCCCATATCGTTCACTTGCCTGTCTGAGCTCTTCGATGGTGCTCCAGGCTTTGTTCAAGTCTTCGTGCAAGCAAAAGTGAGAGCCATCGGGAAGTAAAATGTTAGCAATGCTTCGGCGACCATCGAAAATATCTCTACACGCCAAAAGGCCAGGTTAGTCGTCGATAACCCACCCACTGCTCCAACAAAAAGTGATGGGTAACTGACCTCGAATGACAGCAATCACTTGCTAAGACAACATGCTGCCCGTTCGTTAGTCGGGCGGCTGCAGCCAGATTACCCTCCATATGCCCGGGGGCGTCAATCACCCAGAAGCTGCCATCGCCAAAGAAGTCATTCGCACGATGAAAAGGGCCCCATTGAACCCATGGCCCCTCAAGCTCTTCAAAGGACTCTGTCTGCGAGTCGCCCTCACCAAAAAAGCGAGAGTCCCACTGGACCATTGGTTGAATTTCGCCATCTCTCACATGCCCTGGGGAACAGTGCTTTGCAGTACCAGGGCCGAACAGAACTTTGGCGCGGGGGAACTCGCCTTTCAGCGGTCGGCAATGATCCCAATGGGCATGACTACTCTCAGGTCAGCCACGTGGTCCCATTGGCCTGGACATACTTATGGGGAGATTTAGGTTCTTGCCTGAATATGACAGTATCGATTTCTTCTGCCATCACTCCTAAGTCCTCAAGCTGCGTTATGAGCGATTTGCTGGGTCCAACTGGATTGCAACTCGTCCAGTGATAGTTTAAGACAAACGGCGTATAGAGTTCGCGATCCTACACGGCGGCTAATGAGCGGGGGTGTAAACGGTATGCCCATCGTGAACTAACATTGTGGATTCCAAGATCCCAGAGCATCCGTCGGCCCGTAGCTCTGTGATGAATGAAGAAACACCAATCGTAAAGATAGTACGGCTCCAAATGCCCATCCTCGTGGATCTTTGTGTCGTCGGTGGTTGTGAATCCTCCTCCGTCCAGTAGCACAATCTCGACAGCCCCAGTGGCCAGGGGAATCGGTCTATTCAATGCCATTTTGGAATAGAGACATGAGGAATGACCTGCTCTGGGCCTCTCGATAAGTAACCCCGGTATTGGGGAAAAGATCAGAATTAAATATTTGAGGTTGCCTCCACTCTCGCGACTTCCCCGCATTCAGTACATGGTGGCCCTGAAACGGCATACGTCCACAGGAAACCGACACTCCATCCAATCCTTCACTGCCGTGACTGATACTTCCGTGGGAGTCGTACTTTCGAGGACCAAGGCAGTTTGGCAACGAGAAAGGCCCACGATTTCTAGCAACAATGTGAAGGCTGGGAAATTTCTCATCTTATCAGAATTCTCATTGAAACGATCTGTCCCCAAAGCATCCTTGTGTATATATGTCTATGGAGCAAGGGTAGAGCGAGCCTTTTTTGGCTTCTGGGTGTCCGGCTAGGGAATCAGTCTTCGCTGCCCTTCCCGCATATTTCTATCCAATTCCATCCCCAACCAAAGTGGCTGGGTCTCGTCTAGCTTGTCCTCCAACTCCGTTATATTGCCTCCATTCACAAAAAAGGTTTTGCCATTGATATCAGGTCTTGCTGCTGACAGAAGACTTGCTTTGGCAACATCTCGGGGCTGGTTGGCTGGAAGGTCCCCCCAAATCGATCTGATATGGTCTGTTACCATTTCCGTTACTAACGATTTTCAAATCAGAACCATATTGGAAGTACCCGGGGTCACTATAGCCTGGTCTATTTCTCTTACCTGTCATCCAAGGAGCTATCATGTTCACGCTGATGTTCATCTTTGGAAGCTGGGTCCGCAGGGAACGCATGAGACCCAACACAGCCCCTTTACTGGCACAATATGTGTACAAGGGGGGTGTGTCCCAGATGCTAGCCGCTGATCCAAAGAGAACAAGTTGCGAGGGTATCTCAGGATGCATCCGGAAAAAGCTGATCGCGCATTTGGTCACGTACCAGGTTGCAGCAATGTTGACGTTCAGAACGGAGAGGTCCGGCTTCTTCAAATGCAACAAATCGTCATCAATGGGCTCATCAAGTGTCTCTAACTTATTAATTGCGGCGTTCGCAATGACTGTATCGATCCGGCCGAATTTCGAAACGGTTTCTTGGAAGAAGTGGAGGAGTTCATCCCAGTCAAATACGTCGCATCGCTTGAAGAACGCGTTACTGCGAAAAGATCCATTAGCCCCTCTTTCTTGAGAGATTGAATGTCTGCTATGACATAGGCAGTTTGTTACGCGTCAAGCTCCTGCTCCACTTGTTTGCCTCGAGCCTCGTCGACGTCGCAGAACGCTACTTTGGCGCCATTCTCTGGGAACAAGTAAGTGATACTACTCTTCTGATAAAGAAAGGCTGCTTACCATGAGCGAGAGTCACAATGGCTCGGCCAATGCCGGCAGCACCACCAGTGACGAGAATCACCTTGTTCTGGAGTTTTTCAAACTCCCCGTCGTTGATGATATAAGTGGTCATTCTGTGCGTAATTCAGAGCTTTGCGTGCAAACTTGATGAAATGGGTACGTGAACATTGAGTAATGGCTAACCAAATCGCCCGTGCCTCAGTCGTTTTAACAATTTTCTCCCTGCCTTTCAGTACCTACCAGGGTCTTCTGTTACTCCACATACGACCACATTCAGATGATCTCACTTTGTGGGGAGCCTCCTTCCGCGATAAACATGTGATCAACCACAGCTTTGGGTGATTTGGGCAGGAATCAACATCTTTTCTTTCTTCTATTTGGCTCGAATTGCATTTTAACAGTCCAAACGCGGATATCTATCATGACTCGATAGTTACATAGGATGGAGTTGGTGTGTCATCTGGTAAGTCGGCTGTGGCAGACCAATGCTGATGTTTGAATCTTTGCGTCTCAATATCATCAGCGATGGCGATCGCAAGATCAGCGGCTGAAATCCCCAGGAGTCTTCCATCTAAGGGATTATCACCCTTGGGACCGTCCTTCAGCGGCAGGTTTCCCAGCGTAACGTTGAAGTTGCCTGTGCGTTTACCCGGACGGTATAACGCACTCGGGGAGACATAAGTCCAATTGAAGGAGGTGTTTCCCTCGAAAAACAACAGGCTAGCTCGAGCTGCCTTGATGAATCCGCTTGCTGCATCCTGTTGCGCCTTGATGTTTGCCTCGTATTCACTGATTGTGGCTTTTGCCCTTGAAACGTTCTGCTGGCTCCCACCTCCCGTTTTCAACAAAAGGCGCGCATCTCGGTATGCTCGCAAAGCTGTTCCCAGCGGTCCCAGTCTCTCTTCCATGTAAGTCACATGTGCATGGCTGTCGGATATGCCGCGTCGATATGCCAAGAAGAAATCTTTGCTGTCTGCCACACATATGCCATCTTCGTGGGGCACGTGTAGGCTACCAGTACCACCAACCATTACGAAGTAGTTGGTTTCAGCGCGCTTGACAGCAAGAACAATCTTTCGTATCATCTCGATGAAAGGCACTACGACAGGTAACAAGTCAGTGACTAAGACTGGCACCCGAAAGTTGAACAATGAGACGTACTGTACTGCAGAGCTTGATGACCACCGGTATGCGGCCCGTACTCGCTTACAACAACGTCAAGGTCTTTGATGACCCCGTAGATATCAGCTTCCGTTGCTTGTTCCAAATCGATGTTTCGAGGTTCATAACGTTCATGGCTTCCAAGCTTTTGTGGATTACGGGATATTCCAATGACACGGTGACCACGATTGATGAGCTCGACGCACAAATAGGAGCCTCCAAAACCCGCAGGGCCAATAACACCCACAATCAGCGGTCGACGTACTTCAGGCATGACGGTGTTGAACTTGTTTTTGAATTATGATTCAGACACAGGTCTTCAAATTTTGTCCGGGGAGTTTCTATTGATATGGTAGCTCGTAAAGATCTTTGTCCATCATATCCATCGTTCATCACGCACCTATTGTTGAACGCGGGGTAAAGGTGGGGGAGTGAATGGTCGCTGTAGAATCTGTTTTGAGATCGAGTGTGGGGAACCCTAGCGCCCTAGATACTCCCGGTTTCGCTAGCTTTGCAGAGGCATTTGATTTTCTAGGCATCTTTTTAAAGACATTGAGCTTCTCTGGAGAATCTTTCATACTCTTGTTAAATCATACAAGCCAACATGGATTGTAACGTAGGGTTTATTGGTAGGTTGTGCTAGCCCAGACTCGACATCCTTTTCGACGTCACTTACGTGAACGCAGGCCTTGGTGCCATAGGATATCCTATGGCCGCATCTGTTCGCCGCAAACTTCCGCATGACTCGATTCTGTACGTTTTTGACGTACAAAAGGCAGCTTGTGCAAGGTTTTGCAACGAATTCGGCAGCCTGGGGCCAGTCAAGATAGCTGAATCACCACGAGATGTGGCTGCAAGCGCTGAAGTGGTGATATCAATGGTGCCGGGAGGGAGAGAGGTCGAAGATGTTTTTCTACGTCCTGAAAACGGTATCAGCGTCGCCCCAAAGAATCCTGGTAGACTCTTGCTCGAGTGCAGTACGATCGATGCAGCCACAGCTCGGAAGTTGGCTGCTCACATTGAAGCAACGCAACAAGGCACGTATGTTGATGCCCCAGTTTCAGTAAGCATACCGCTTGGCAGCGGTGCCGTTGCACCCCAGCATCAAACAATTCAGCATTAATCAAAGTTTAGGGGGGCGTTCCTGCCGCAGAAACAGCCACGCTTTCATTCATGATCGGCCATCCTGCACCGCAGCCGGGTGACAAATCAACGGAGAGACTGGAAAGAACAGTCTCGCTGATGGGTGATCCCCAGAAGTTATTCTGGTGTGGCAGTGTAGGCTCCGGCCTTGTCGCAAAGATCAGCAACAACTATATTTCGTGCTCCGTCCTGTTACTGGTCGCAGAAGCAATGGCGATTGGTGTCAAATCTGGTGTTGACCCAAAGATACTCCAAACAATCATTCACAATTCAACTGGGCAGTCTTTCATGGGAGACAATGTTTGCCCAGTGCCCGGCGTGGTGCCTCACGCACCAAGCAGCAATGATTGGCGGCTGGGGTTCAAAACACAAATGTTTCTGAAAGACCTTTCACTGGGAATAGAAGCAGCCCGACGTCAAGATCTCAAGCCCTCAATGGCAGAAGCCGCTTATGCTGTATTTGAGGAGGCATCAAAGAATCCCCGCTGTTTTGTAAGTGATGGCACATGCATGTCTTGACGTTTTATGTTAGGCTAATATGGGGTCATCACAGGATCGTGACGGATCATCTGTATATCTTCACATTACGGGGGAAGACAAGGATTAGAACCACTTTGTCGGGCATTCAGACGTGAGCTCAGCGTGATGTACACATGTGCGATTCGCAATTAAAGATCCGTTCTCTTAATCCAAACCTACCTATTACTATGTGTCTTAAATATGTCTCCAAGAAATCCCCTCAAACGATGAATGTTGTCACATTTTAACCTTAATTCATAGAACCTGCTTCTTCAGTCAATGTAGAGCACCAATCGGGATTCGAAGACATCGACACTGATGCTCGAACTGGTCCGCAGAGGCCTAATGCCACTCATGTTAATGAACATGACTCCTCAAATACCGATTCGGTAATCAGGGGCTTCATGGAGACAATTCAGATATTAAACTATTTCTATTTTGTTGAATTTAAATCTCTTTGTTTTCGATATGCTGAAGAAACGTCCTTATTTTAGCAATACAGGCGTCGGCGGCTTCTGCGTATATCTCATGACCCTTGGAATCGATGATGCCAAGCTCTGCCTTGGGCACTGTCGCTGCAAGTTCCTCCATGGATTTTACTGTCACCAAAGCACTGTTCGTGGGTGATAGAATGAGCATCGGAGCGGTGATGCTTCCCAAAAATGGCCGGGCGTCCAATCGACTCAGAAAGTCTGCATAGCTTGCCAGCCCTTCCCCATCACTCGCGGCCACCTTTTCAATCCACCAGGCTAGATACTCAGGGTCATCACTGGCGACTGTCCCATTCGCGGCAGCAAGACGCCTAGCCCATTCTCGGGACCCTAGTTGACGGCAAGCCTCCGGCCAAGACCCTTTGTCAAACGCCAGAAACTCCTGGGCAGATTGCGGCAAGTGAGTGGGTGACGAGCAAACAATGACTGAGAGCACACGCTGAGGGTATTTTGCTGCAAATATCTCGGCAAGCATCCCACTAGTCGATTCTCCAACAAAGTGGACCTTCTCTATGTTCAACTGATCCAAAGTGTCCTTGATCTCTTCCATGATGGTGGCAAGTGAATAGTCGTAGGCGTCATCCTGGCCAGGTTCTGGATAGCTCGACTCTCCATGACCGCGAAGATCTCGCCGGAGTACGTTGTAATGTCGCGATAAAGCCGGCACCCAGTGGTAGAAATGATCAGCCGTGCGAGCGAAGCCATGTTGCAGTAGAATTGTCTCTGCACGTCGCCAGGGATCAACAAAACTGTCCAGCATGTAGGCTGAGACCTGGCCATTCGGGTGGCGAATGGTCTCGCGTTTGGAGGCCGGCATGTTGATAGGCTGTGGTGTTTTTTGCCTGCTCTGTTTTCACTGATTAAATTGAACACAGTATGTTTCCTCCAGTCAAGACGAAACCAATGTGCAATACTTGTACATAGAAAGCCTTAGAACAGCTAGATACCTTGAATCAACCCAGATCAGTCATTCCCGTCCCTGCTTCTCTCGTCGTCGTGGGTGGAGGTTGTTTGAATGTGGGGTAAAGGCGCACACCGGTAGCAAGAAACGTACTTAGATACTAGGTATTATTTACCTACCCCACATGGACTTCAGCTTCGTGACATGCAGCATACCAGGTAACCGTGTGTTTGTGGGGAAGGAAGGGCTAAATTTGCGGAGTGCGTGAGCGTGGGAGCCGCCCTCTGGTAGAATATGGGGTAGGTCACATCCTTCCCACGCTGGTGACGTAGATCTTCAGGGTGTAACTCTCATCTCAAGTATGGGCAAGCTTCGTAATTAGACGACTAACAGATATCTTTAACTTTGCCTAGAACAAGTTTACCCTTTACGAGAATTTCTTTGGCTTTAAACAGTTGCATGCTGAAGAGCTCCTCAAGAATAGACTCACTAACTCAGCAGAGTCTGTTTCCAAAAGCTTGAAGTAATCCATCAGATCACACGAATCCACTTACAAGTCAAAATGTCCGTATTCGACAATCCAATCGCCCATATCATTCTATTATCTTCTGCACTTTTATTGGGTTTTGCATTCGCCCTCCCATCTCTATTCGAAACCTTTTCCTCTTTGAGGAGATTGCCAGGTCCCTTTCCAGCTCGTATCTCACGGCTATGGTACTTGAAGCAGGTTAGCACAGGAACCTTCCATCAAGTCAATATCGACCTTCACCGGACGTATGGTAAGCCTAAGCTCTTGTTCCAGCAGACTTTTTGGATGAGTGTACTCATAAACTAGGCCCTGTTGTGCGCATAGCGCCAAATCAGTATAGCATCGATGACCCGGCTGTGATCAAAACCATATATGGAATCGGCAAGGGATTTCCAAAGGTAGTACTTCGCTTCGATTCGTTCATTAAATCTCCATCTGTTGACAAGACTCGATCGATTCCCTAGGCAGCATGGTATGAAGCCTCCAGCGCACCCAACCCGCCTTGGTGCGATCTTTTCACGGACCGAAACAGCGCGCGTCACGCTGCTAATCGAAGAATTGTGGCAAACCTCTACTCCGTGACAACTCTCAAAGACATGGAGCCAGAAGTGGAAGACTGCATCAGACAGTTTGTGTCTCGCCTTACACACCTGTCAAAGTCGGGTGGGATTCTTGACTTGCAATTCTGGATGCAATGCTACGCATTTGATGTCATCAGTCAAATCACTGTGGGTTTTCTTATTTCCTGGAGACTGTCTGGAATTGTTTTGACTTTCTTGTTCACATACAGCTTGGAAAGCGATTTGGGTTTCTCGATTCCGGAAAGGACAATCTGGGCATGTTCAAGAGCCTTCACGCTTATCTCAAGTACTGCGCGCTTGTTGGTATTGAGCATGAACTTCACCGCCCTCTTTGGTGGCTTATTACCAAACTGCCTGCAGCCGGGTTGATGCACGTTGCGAATTTCACCACTCGCGAACTCGAAAACGGAAGACAGGTTTATGACAGCGAACGGCTCGACAAAAGTGCCGTGCGGAAAGACTTCATGTCAAAATTATTTCGTCTACAAGATGAGAATCCGGACAAATTTCCTTCCAGCGCGATTTTCGCCACTTGCATGACCAACATTGGAGCCGGCTCTGATACTACATCAATCTCCCTTTGCGCTATTTTGTACGACCTCATAACCAACCCAAACGTTCTAGACAAGGTGTGTTATTCTCAGCAAACCTTGGTAGAAGTTCAGTTGTGAACGCTATGCTAAAAGTAGTCTAGTTGCGCCAGGAAATAGATGCCACATTCGCAGAACTTGGGGATCCGGAATTCATCCCATTCAAAGCTGCGCAGGCATTATGCTATCTACAAGCCTGCGTAAAGGAGTCATTGAGGTTACACCCTGCAACCGGGCTTCCTCTAGCGCGTGTCGTCCCAACAGGTGGATCAACCCTCGCCGGAACGCATTTCCCTGAAGGAGTAAGTACAAACAAGTTCCAGGTCATTGAACCATTCGTGTCTGCTAAAATGAGAAACGCAGTCTGTAGTTGGCGTGAACACGTGGGTTTTACATCGAAATAGTAGTATATTTGGACTTGATGCCGACCGATACCGTCCTGAGAGATGGCTGGATGACGACAAAGACAAGCTTTCTTTGATGGAAGCTAATTGGATCCCGGTACGTCAACATGTTTCTTCGATACGCCAGTATTTGGGTAGGAGCAGCGCAGCTACTGACCTTCCCTTCCGATAGTTTGGAACAGGCTCCAGAACTTGCATTGGCAAGAATGTTAGCCTGCTCGAGATTAACAAACTGATCCCTGTTTTGGTGAAGAGGTTCAACTTTAGTTGTGTGAATTCCCAGACTGCAAGGCATGAGAACTACTGGCTGGTCAAACAGGTTGGCATTCATTGCAAGGTGTCATCAAGAGCTGCCGAGGATGCGTAGCATACAACAAGGAAGTCTGTAGCAGAATTATCACTCGATGATGACGAATGTCATCGCTCTCTTGCAATCTATGTTTGCACGTGAATAAGTCAGAGAAGGTCTTCCTTTCTGAAGGACGTGGAGCAACAAAGAATGACTGTAGTGAAAGTCTCAAGGTGGCCTTGGGAATAGGCATGCAAGAGAATAAGCAGATTCAGCTCGCCGACGCGGACGCCGACGCGCAACACTACGCTCATCCATTCTACACAAGGTATAACACCATGTAAACTTTTGCACAACGTAATGAGAATGACAAGTATCCTATTATTGCCTTTCTATGTATTATTTAAAAGAGACCTCAGGTGGGCATGGAGCGTGTGAACTCTTCGCACCCAGCGAAAGCTTCAAGGTAGTTAAGGCATTTAGCAAACAGGGACCTTGATGACCTGGCCGACCTGGAGGCTCTCAGCAGCGACACCGGGGTTGGCGCCAGTAAGGGAGTCAGTGGTGATGCCAAGGCTCTGAGCAACGACGAAGAATGTGTCGCCAGACTTAATGGTGTAGGTAGCCGGTCCGCCTGTAACGCAGGTAGCCTCCCCAGTGGGGGTGATGCAGGAGGTGTTGTCGGGGTTGCAAACGTCGACGGGGACCAAAAGGACCTGACCAGCAAAGATGACGTTGGGGTTCGCAAGCTTGTTCTGCCACGCAATGTCGCAGATACCAGAGTTGTAGCGCTGCGCGATGGTGGTCAAGGTCTGTCCGGCCTTGACAGTGGTCTTGTGGAAGTTGCCAATCTTGCCGCAAGTGGCAGAGGGAGTCGCGGTGGCGGCAGCGGTAGGAGTGGCTGCCTATGAGCTGGTTAGTTGCTTCTTTTGGATGCAAAGAAGAGTGACATGACGCACAGGAAGAGCAACGACAGCGCTGGCAGCAGCGGCAAGGACAGTGAAGATGGAGAACTGCATTTTGGCGAAAGTTGTTGATTAATTATGTAGTAATTAAGAGACAGGAAGTATTGAAATGAGTGGATAGATCTAGCAGATCAAAGTTTGAGAATAGTTGTTGGAGGTTTGTGGAAAGAACGACGAAGTTGGTTGGAGAGCCGAAGGAAAGAGGGCGTCCGCAGTGATGGATGCGAACGCTGCAAATAAATAAGCCATCAACAAGGAGCTGGAACTCGAACCACCTCTGGGGAAACTCCGATGATCCCGCGCTGTCTCGCGAGTCTGCGACGCCGGAAATGGCTTCATCAATTTAGGTTCATTTGCGTTCGCCGATATCCGTATTCACCAGTGTTGGAAATGAGCTCACCTCTTTCTAGTGGGGTTTCTTTTCAGTTGCTAACCACGATAAACCTTAGCATGTCGGATTGACTTTCGAGCTGGGTTGTCCTTTTGGGTTGGAGGCCAGCATCCCTGTCGACGAGTCGTGTCAACGCACTCTGTGTGCAGAGTCATGCAGAATTTGAGAATTTCATTTGTCCACCAATCTCACCCTGGACCTGGTTTCACCAGCTGTCTTTCTCCCGCCTTGAGCCCAGCCTTACTCTGTCTTTGCAATCATATCATGAACGTGAGTCTGAGTCCCGCGCGCCAAGCGATTAAGTGAGGTTATGGTCGTCTCCGTTTGCGCTAGCCGAACCTCGCCATTACCACATCATCAGAGGCAATTGGTCTTAATAGGAGTAAGATCTACCTCAGGAAGCTTATCAACGATACGTGCAAATCCCGCACTGACTGAAAGCAGAGAGCCCTGACAATTGGTCACGACACTTCAGCGTGACTCGTACGCCGCGAAAGAAAACTTCCGAGTCCACTCCACACGTGCCAAATGATTGGGACTCTGCTGATATCCCAACATGGGTAGTCAACTGGCTTGGATATTGGACAGTAGCGAGACTCTGAAAGGCAAGGCAGTGAGATCTTATTTTTTACAAGTGCCGATGAATGAGCTGGTAACTTGAATACATTAAAAAGGTGTGCTTTGTGTCGATTGCATAATGGACTTGTCGAAAACTATAACATAGCTCTGGTCAAGCTTGTTTTCGCAATGGCAATCGGAGTTCGTTTCAAGATCAGGAAGACAGATTGCTGTAGGCAAAGTCTTGAAATGCCGGTGCAACAAAATCTCGGTGAGCCCGGTCTTGGTCCGCATGGCTGGTTCTCGGCCGAGACCGTGGTGGCCCACCTGCACGGGTGGGTTTTTCTTTGCCAGACAGCTTCCATTGAGGACGCGTCTGACTACTGACCGAGTGTCAAATGAGTTGATTCTTGCAGTTGATACGCCGGTAGGAATAATGAATACTCTTCATCTAATTTTCACTACTTATTCATCGATCCCGGGAGTCAATCATCTGTGGAAATCCCAGCCTAGTATTTCATCTCAACTACCCACCGCTTACTGTTAACAGATAAAGACTCGACTATCTTACCGCGTACTAGCAATGTAAAAAGTGCGGTCTTCTGAATGGGGATTCCCGTAACTAACAAGTGATGCGCAGAACTGAAACTTATAGCTTGCTCAAGTGCCACACGCAACAGGCAGTACTCAGTGAAACATCACCCACGCCTTCAAAAGGGTCCAAGAGATCGATGATGTTGAGAGCTCTTGGGTTGGTGTTGCAAAGTATGATTACATCTTCTGTCGGTATATGGTCGTCGCTATCGCAGACTGGCCTAAACTCATCCAGAATATCTACCAGTACGTCTTGATTCCTCGTTTGAATGCACAGGCCATGTTCTTTCTGATACTGGTTAGTCATTTGAACCCTGGTGGCTGGGTTGAATTTCAGGAAATGGGTGATTTGTACTACTCAGAGGACAACACGTACACCGAGGAATTCGCTGTCTTCAAGTGGAACAGAAAGTACCTCACGGCATTCGACTCTATGGGACGTACTGCGCGCCCTGGTAGTCAGGTTGAGAGTTGGCTGCGTAGCACAGTGTTCGATAATGTCAAGTCTCAGAAGTTCAAGGCCCCGAGTGGGCAGTGGGCCAAGGATCCGCAACTCAGAGATGTGGGTATGATTTGTCTCAGTCAGCTGCTCGACGGTCTCGAAGGCTTTACTCTCAAGCTCTTTTGTGGGTTCTTGGGTAAGACTCAGGAGGAGGTGCTTGTCATGCTCAGCCATATGCGCAAAGAGTTGAAGTCGGGGGCAGCTCAAATCTTGGTCAACCAGTAAGTTGCTGCTCTTCTTGCAGTAACTACATATGATTGTAAAAGTCGGGACTGACCATGGCTCTAGGCACGTCCTTTATGCACAAAAGCCACCGATGGAGGCGAAAGATACTATTGCCTGATGTTTGGGGGTTGGCCGCTGTGGTTCGTGGGCTAAGACTTCAATTTTGCCATCTACAAGTGCTGTTGGCTGTGTTCAAGGTTCCATGCAGCTCAATCAGGTCGTTCTTTCGGGCCGTTGATTTTCTTGCTGGGCTTTTCTGCCCAAATTTTCCGACTCACCCTTCCGCGAATCCAACTTTCTCATGTGATGCTTTTGTCTCTTATGTCTTCTTGGCACTGCCCTCGTGTGCGACTCTAACCTCAGGCTCGTCTCCAACCACGCCTGGAGTGTCCTTTTCTCCCACTTCACCGTCCCAGCCCTGGCTGAGTAGATACGCGTGGAACCCGGCGTCCTCTTCTGAGAGATCGTCACCTTTCAGGTTCGGAACGAAGAAGTAAGTCACCAGAACGCCAACAACTCCACATATGGCCGCGATGATGAATGTCCAGCGCTTTCCAAGACTAGCCTGGATTGGTGTGAAAGCCTGTGTTCCGATCGCTGCACCAGCCTTGCCCACTGCAGCAGAGAGGCCGTAGCAGGTTCCGCGAACTGCGGTTGCATAGGACTCTGAAGAAAGCAACCCAAGCATATCACCCGGTCCCATGTTGCCAGAACTTTGCATCAGGCCGTAGAAAACTACGAAAAGAGGTAGAATCTTGGTGATTTGGTCGTATGCCACCCCAATTATCAGGCCAAATACAAGATAGCCAGAGAATCCCAGCATCATGACGTTCTTGCGGCCGATTCGATCGCATAAGTATGCACCCAGAAGAACACCGGGCAGACCTATAGCGCCGAGAAGGAGTTGGTACTCTGCAGTAGACTTGATGCTGGAGTCTTTGACGACAGATGAGATAATGACACCGGAGAAAACGCCGTTTGGGAAGGTGACAAAGTCGTATAAAAACCATGCACCAGCGGTTCCTATGAGGCGCTTCCAATAGTATCGAATTACCAATCTGTATGGCACATGACGTTTGATTGCTCCGCGGCGGTATAATTTGGAGTTCAGCATTTTCAGTCGAAAGTAGAATACTGTCAAAGGCAGAGCGCATCCGATTCCGAAACATACGCGCCAGATCGTCGATAGGTGTTGAGGCCCAGCGGCGGCAGAGAATACAATGAGAAAGATGCTGACTGCCAAAGGCCCGCCAAATGACAGCGGCAAGTTCGTAACGAGGATGAAAATTGGGCCCCGGTTCTTCAGAGAGTGTTCGTTCGCGGCTTCTGACGCAGATGTTGAAGAGGCGGGATACTCTCCACCAGCACCGAAGCCTATGATGCCACGAGCGACAGTCATCATCCAAAACATGCCATCAATGGTGACTCCACTGGCCGCGGTTGCCAGAATCGAGCCCAAAACAATCAAGGCGGTCGTCAAAATGATGGCGAACTTGCGCCCAAGGTAGTCGCAGGTGAGGCCAATAGTAACCTGGCCGATGATTTCGCCGATGAGAAGAGAGTTGGAAACCCGAGTGCTGACTACGGACGTGTACTGTTGAGGATATTCCGCCTTGAGGACGACGTTTGTCATAGTCCTATGGAGTTCAGTCAACAAATCAAGCAGTCTTTTCATCCTCATGAAAGCTTACATCAGGTTGTTCTGGTACCCATCGCTAATCAAAGCAAAGCCGGCACAGGCAATAGTGAAAATGTCGCTCCATGACTGCTTTCTAGCAGAAACAAGTTCCGCCGGTGGCTGGCCGTCCGTATCGCTGGCAGCTGCAACAACGTCGGGGACGAGTTCCTTCGTAGGATCATTCGTTGCAGACATTTTGATAGATGGTTGGAAAGCAGAATTCAACATTCAACATCAATGGCAGGGTGAGGTTTTCCGTCTTAATTATATGATTACCTAGGCTGTGGAGGTGGGCACACGGCGGAGGACCAAAAGGGAAGATACAAACTGAGCCCAATATCTTGAGATGTGACCCTCCAGCCCTGGTGATGCGATTCTTCTCTTGTGATTGGTCTCATTTTTCCTCTCGGACTCCTGCCGATGCGTTGCAGTCAATGTCAGTGATGCTCCAACGGATTCATTGTTTGTAGTGGATCTTTCAAAAGTCACACGTGGAGAGTCTCCGCGACTCTAATTCGAGACATTCTTGTTCAGGGCCCGCTTCGACGCGCAAACCGTGACGGGAACTACTGCATAGTAATTCCAGCGTGGGGTCACATTCGAAGCCGACTTCCGGGCAGGCCTTAGGAAGCCAAGACGAAACAAGCATTATTCCACGTGCTGCCATTCACTAACCCCACTTTGAAAAGATGCGATTCCTTCGGCACGTTATTGCCGGTCGACTCTCCAGCTAGAATCTCGGGCTGATTACGTCTCGTTGAAGTCAAGCTTACTTCTGCTGAAGAAATCGTTTGGCGTTTCGAGCCAAACTGAGAATTGCAACTACTGTTGCTTTGAGCCCCGTCGAATGGCTGTCCTGTGTTTTCTGTCCAGTAGATTTGCACTACCAAACCCAGTGTGGAAGTAGGTTGATCACGCTCTGTGGCCACTGATTATTGCGTTTTTAATGTGATCCGTACAGATAACTTGAACGAGAGCTTTGATGACACCATACCATATAACATGGACTGGAAGCAGGGAGATTGTGCACCATTTGCGGCGAGTTGTCAATGACCAATCAAAGCTTCTTCAATGTTATTTCAGTCTACAAAACCCCAGCGCCGAGCGAAACCAACTGTCTACCACTCTCTACCAAAATGAACTCTAGTTCTAAACGATCGTCTGTCTATAAACCTGTACCATAATTACAACTTGCTTCTCAGGTTCTTTCTCTCGTCCTTCTTGAACAGCACCTTGCTGTTCGGGTAAGGGTCAAAGGTGACGCTGTTCAACGGGTTGTCCTCGCTGGCCCGTTTGAACATGTCCTCGTAAACCTTTCCATCAAATCTGCCAAGACTGCTGTCAAGTACCCAATCGTCGAACTTCCACGCGTCGACCAACCGCACGGCATGAGGTCTGATCTCCTCAAGCAAGGTCATTACAGCCTTGGTTCTCGCAAGGGTGATCTGGCGGACGGTCACAGCCGCCGAGCTGTAGAACTCACTCGCCTCACGCTCGAGGGTTGTCAGGGCATACAATCTGAACAGCTTGTGCAGAAGCCCAACGGTATCCTTGTCCAGCTGATCGGTAGTAGACTTGTCGTTCAGCGCCTGGTGGAAGTTCTTCACCACCATATACTGAGCGTGTGCAGTGCTGAGGCGCCAAAAGTCAACGAGCAAACTGTTCCAGGATTGCTTGTCCTCATCTCTGTGGCGAAGAGCCTCGAAGGTGAGGAACGAGACACGCCAGGCAAATGCTGAGACCAGGTCCTCGTCAGAACCTAGCACGTCGAAAGCCGCACCAATATCGCGGCGGCGCAGGAACTCAGTAAGGATTCTTGTGGTATCGTTGTTTCCAGCCTTACCCTTCAGTACCGCACGTGCCGACTTCAGCAAGTAACGAGACACTTGCTGCGTGAGCATGTAGTTGTCACCCTCCCAGGTCAGTGTTGGAAGATAATCAGCGTACCAGCTGCCGATGCCGCTGAAAGATGAGTAGCCGTGGCCGCCACAGGCACGACGGCAGACTTCGAGGCCCTCGCCCGCAACGGTTGAGCCATATGCCTTCAGGGCACAAGATGTGGCATGCAGGTCGGCAAGCAGATCCGTTCCGGGGTTCAGCTCTTCAGGGCCCGGGTTGCGGGTAGAATCGCTGAGCTTGCCAGCATCGGCCTTCATGCGCTTCTGGTTTTCGTTGTACAAGTTGATCATACCGCGACCGGTGAAGTGCAGCGCGAATGTCGCGGCGAGAAGTGGCAGCAGTCGGATCTGTACCATGGTGTAGTTGAGGACCTGGTTCTCACCAGGTTCGTTCGCAGGTGCGTCTCGGTCTTGGAATTGCCGGCGAACAGCACAGTAGCGGGTGGCAATGGTAACACCTTTAGCCAGAACGGAGCCTGCTTGGAGGACGATGTTCGAGCGCACCCAAGTGAGAGTGCCATAAACCAGAGATGGGTTCGCGGGCCTACTGTACTTGCTTGTCTGCGGGTCGACGGACGAGAAGCGGGCAAGCATGTGGTTGTGTGGGATCTTGACGTTGTTCAGCAACAGAAATCCGTTATCCATTGTGTTGTAGCCGAACTTGGGGCCGATATCGCCGACGTGCACATTCGGTAGAGGCTCGTGGCTGTTCTTGTCCCTGATAGGAACAACGAATGGGTGAGGGCCGAGGGCTTTGCCGTTGATGATTAGCTGGGCCATGACCACAGCGTGGGTAGCCATCTTTCCGAGAGAGCCAATCCACCATTTGGAGGCTGTCAGGTGGGGGGAATGCATGACGAAGGTCTTGTCGGCAGGGTCCCATGTTGCCGTTGTCTCCAAGCCGCGGACGTTGGAGCCATGGCCGAGCTCGGTCTGAGCATAGCATCCGATGATCTCGTAGTTTTCGGCAGGCTCGAGGAAAATCTTGTGCTGCTCCGGAGTGCCCTGCTCGCGGAGGGTAACAAGGAACATGCTGGCGTGCAAGCCATAAGGCGTGGGCTCGCTGATGAGCTCATTGGCAACCTGGTATTCGTCGCGGGACCAGTTGTGCTGCTTGTTCAATTGGAATAGCCTCTTTCCTCTTGCCAGCGAAGCCTCAATGCGGCTCTCGCGGCCTCGGAAGTAGTTTTGCGTCTTGTCGAAAACGGGATCGGCCTTGAGGATGTTCAGTATCCTCTCGTTGCGCTCGAGAGCCTCGTTGGTGAACATGAAAGTGGCGAGCTGGTCGACATTGAGGTTGGACTTTGCCCTCTCCTGAGCCAGGAGCTCTGTGCCCTGGGGCCCAGAGGGCTGGAGCTTCTTGACCCAATCCGGGGTATTCGGCATGGTGATTGAGTGATTGCGGAGGCTGTGGAGTGTGGGATGAAGACTGCAGGAACTGTCTGGGGAAATGGAGGTCTCAGAATGGCACCGATAAGATTTTGTAGAAATCCCGTCCTCGGCCGTGCCGGCTACTCGTGAAGTCTAATGCTCATCAGGGGGCGTCTTCCGTCTCTCGGAGTGTTCTCATGACGCGCGCGCGCGAGAAGTGCCTCGGCTATTACTGTTTCGAGTTAGACCCAGTCCTCGACTTGACACGTAGACCGACGAGAGATCCGGGGTTTCAGCAGACTGACCCGCTAAATCTCGCGGCGCATCTCCCGATCATCGGACATGCTCGGTACTACGCTACGAGCCGAGGTGATATTGCCGTCTTATTGCAACATCCGGTACTTCGGTCACGACACCGCCGGATTGACACGGCCCAGCTGGTGACTCACGGCCTGAGTTACGGACGGGTTTGGATCACATGTATATTTACCATGGCATCGTTCCGAACTCAATCGCCTTTTCTGGACGCGTTTTTGCAGCTTTGCAGCCCTATGACTTGTTTTTTCGTGTGTTTCGCGCGATTGCCAAGATGACCTCGGCGTATTCACCAGACCAGGTCAGTCTTTACTTAGAATGCATTGGCGTTCCTGAACGATGCCGCCATGAACCGCCTACTCTGGAGTTTTTGACGATGCTTCACGTCCACACAATCTCAACGTTACCTTACGAAAACCTGTCTCTGCATTACAACCCATCACACAACATCAGTCTCGATCCTCAGTACCTGTTCAGGAAAATGGTCACCGACAAGCGCGGACGCGGTGGGTTTTGCATGGAAATCGCGATTTTATACAACCATATCCTGCGGGCTCTGGGCTTTGACGCGTACACCGCTGGTGTCAGAACTCGACCACGCATTGAGGGCGTGCCAAAGGGCGACTTCCCAGGCTGGTAAGGCACTTAGTTCCCCATTCATCATATCCGGTCCATATCCGGTACTAATTCTACCTCCCTCTGACACCCTGCCTCCTCAGGGGTCATATTGTAAACATTGTGACATTCGCAGATGGTTCTAAATACCATTCAGACGTTGCGTTTGGCGGCGACGGTGCAACAAAGCCAATACCATTGGTTGAAGGCCTTGTTCACAACAATCTCGGAACGCAACAAATACGTCTTGCGAAGGATTGGCTACCTACGCAAGCGCATCGAGTAGACTCCAGCAAACAGTGGATCTACCAATACCGTAACAACCCTTCTCAGCCGTGGAACTCGTTTTACGCCTTTGCGGAAATCGAATTTTTACTGCCTGACTGGGGCGTCGTCAATCACTGGATGAGCACACATCCCGACAGTAACCAGGTCCGCAACCTCCTCGTCGCGAAGTTTCTGCGGCGAACAATTGCTTCCAGCAATAGCAACGAGCAGGAGATCTACGGCAAGAAGATGTTGGTCAATGGTACTGTGAAGCACAATATGGGCGGCAAAACGGAGTTTGTGAAAGCATGCGACACGGAGGAAAGTCGTCTTGAGTCTCTCGAGAATGTATTCAGCATCGTACTATCGCAGACCGAAAAGGATGGCATCCTAACGTCACCTTTGAGACTCGGGTGAGTACTCTTTTGACCTATTCAACTTTCCTGTAGACGCTATTGAACGCCTCCCTCTTGTTTCCCATCACGTCAATCAACGCCCTGGTCTTTTGTCTCTCCGGGATGACACACAACAAATAATATTGCAAGTCATGGAGCCAGTAGGATCTCAATTCCCGCCACCCTGTGGCAATGGCGCCGTTAACCCAACTCAATATTAGCCTTCCAAAGGTGCTGGAGTCTGGAAACCCCTTCGTTACCCATAACGAAGTCCCTTGACTCTTCACATCCCCAGGCACAATACACAAGCAATGCATGTTCTGAGTCTCGCGTTCGGCCTCTAACTGCGAGTGTGCGGAAACGGTGCGAAATCAGGTTTGAACCCACGTTGTTGACAAGAGAAGAGAGCTGCAACTCTCTGTTCGTAATGGTGTTCTCGATGGCGGCTCCGATCTCCTTTGGTGTTGCAACCCTTGCGTCCAAGATGATCGTCGAGACATGGTCGTTTCCTGCCAGTATCCTGGGCCTTGCAGCGGACGTCGCTACCTCATCTGCAAGATGGCCAAGGAGGAACACACCAAACCCATTACTCACGAGTTCCTCTGCGATGCCATAACCAATTCCTGCACTTGCGCCCGTCACAAGTGCGTAAGCGGGCTTCAAACCCGGGCGCTTGTAGGACGATAGAGGCTGTGATGGTGCAGCAGTGTGAAATTGGATATTGTCGAAAAGTTGGATTCACAAACGTACCGTGCTCATGCATCCTATGGCCACAAAGGCCCAGAGCCATTTTGGGGTCTCCAGCTCGGTCAACTTCTTGAGATAACTTGCATCCATCTCCATGGAAAATTTGAGCAGCATTATGGGCGCAGTGAGGATCAAATAGAGTAAAAAGGGGGTTTTCCTGTCAAGCAGATTGGAAAAGGTCGTGAGGGGTTGAAAGGTCTGTTGAGCTTCTTGTCCTACAATTCAAGCATGTCTCATCTTAGTCACCATTCGTGCTACTTCATTGAACCAAATTCGTCCTCCAGTCAAATATCACCATCGTTGACATTCTTTTCCCCGACTGCTCAGTGCAACGCCAACAGTCGTCATAGTACGGCAGCGTGCATTTTTGTGAGGGACATGTGTGCATACCTATTTACGATTTTCTCGTTTGTCCGATGATCCAAGATCACGTCTAAAACGAGACAAGAAAGGTTCTCCCTGTTTTCATCATGAACTCGCCAGAGGTAGCTAATGTTCGATCAGGCTGCTGTTGGTATTCAAAGTCTGACGAGGACAGCGAAGAAGAACGGGGTTGCTGAACCCAACCCCGGCGACTTGACTCTAGAATGTGCCCCTGAAGATCAGCCTCTGTGTACGGTCCTTCTGAAGCGCCATCTTAAGGAATAAGCGCGTAACAAGAAATGCTGCTAATTGGTCGCTTGGTTCCATGGCTTCGTGAGGTGGCTCCTGTGCCTCCTGTGCCTCTCTTGGCGTGCGAAACTAGATGGCTGAAATGAGAGGGGCTCCGGGCGCAACCTGGTTCACTGGTGCCTGATTTTCAGCGCCGTCGGGGGCAGATCGATCAGCACAACATCCCACCCACCCACTTCAAGAAATGGCAGCCCAGACTTTTGCCGGCGGACTGGCTTCCGACCCTTTTCGCACTATTTTCACATCGAACGCAACTCCCACGAACATTCGCAGACTACATCTGATCGGGAGCCGCAAGAAGATGACTGCTGAGCTTCGAGTTATTTCCTCTTCGCCTCACTCGACTTCCAACCAACAGCAAAAGTCGCAATGTCGCTATACGATTCAGGAGAGACGAGGAACGACAATTTAGCGTGGCGGCCTAATATGGACAATGGAGGGGCAAAAGAACCACTCGTTTCTCAGAAGGATGACAGATCCAACACGAGTACCAACGACGAGTCTGCATCTCAAACAGTTTATCGATGGCTACCTGGCCGTTGGAAACGAATACCGTTTCTCGCTGCCCTGTCCATTATCATGACTTGGGTGCTTTCCGGCACAATGATAGTTGTCGTTCTTGTTGCTGACGGTACTGCTACCGGTTCTTGGACAGTATCTCCAACTGTGCTGGCTGCCATCATTGCAACAGCCGCAAACATCCTACTCCAGCTTGCGCTTTCCAAGGGCGTCGCGATTTCGTGGTGGAGAAGGAGCATAGAAGAACCAACTTCAGTCCGAGATTTGCACGCCCGATGGATCGTTGGACAAGGTTTCGTTGACGCAGTGCAAGAAGTCGTTTTACGAGGACCCAACTTCGCCGCTATTGCCAGCATTATGACCACGATAGTCGCTATCAACTCCCCGCTAATACAGAGGGCGTTGACTCCAGGGCACGGAACCTTCGAGGGCCGCTTTGATCTGGGCGAGATCCGTATGATCCAGCGGTTGCCCCGGGGTTATTCTGGAATTTGGGACCACAACACAAAGTCCATTGGATATCCGACTGAAACATTCAGCGACTTGACAAGGCGATATTTCTACTACCCCGGAATCATCCTTGAGAATAGGGCAGCGATCGGGGAGAATCTTGCATTTTGCGATGGGACATGCGCTGGTTGGCTCAGAGGAGCTGGGTTCTCCATCAACTGCGATACAGTGACCATAACTGAGCTGCCGAATCTCCACGACGCCAATGGAGCATACAACAAATCAACCGACGTATTTTCGAGTGTCATCCGGTACAGCGAATATCCCGATTATACTGTCACGTCACCTGGGTCAACCGCCAACCCTGTCACACAGGATATACCTCGAGATTTCACGTACGACTCTGTTTGGAAGGCCGAGACTGGCTGCCCCAGCGACACGAAGAGTATAAGATTGGTCTCTCAACATTGTACACTTCGGCCTGCGATCGTAGATTACCCTATTGTTGTTATCAACGGAACTCTCTCCCTTGATCCGAACTATGGTTACCAGTCTGACACAACGGTCTCCCTTGAGACTGATCAGCAGATGAGAGATGATGTTGATCCAAACATGCCTGTCAACACAACTCAGGGATCTTCGACTTTTGGGGGTATTGCTTCACTACTTGTGAGACGATTTTCCTCACGAGTAAGCGTGAGACTGGAGGACGGCAGGTGGAAGCAAGAAGCGGAGGGCTTGCTGTCATTTGAACTAGCCCGTTATGGCACGTCAATGCTGAATGGAAGCTGTGCTCCAGCGTTCACGGATCCAGTGCCATGGGTCTTCCAAGCTGTCCGAGAACTCATGTTCCGAGCCTCTGTGGAAGTGCCTATTGATGACTACGAGAGAAGACGATCTCAGTTTTCACTGGATGAAAACTATGTGCCTCTCGGACAGACGCAGCGGCTTCAGGGCGAACATAGGGGGCTTTCCACCATTTATATCGCCAACCACTCGTACCTATATGCCGCTGCTGCCATAACATTCCTTACGGGGCTCATGATCACGCCCTTGTTCTATGGTTTCGCCAACTTGGGTCGGCTGGTCTCCCTGTCTCCTCTGGAGATAGCGAAAGCATTTGATCCTCCTCAGTTGCGGGAGGCTGCTTCCAATTCTGATGCAAAGGCATTGCTGGGTTCTCTGGGCAATAAGCAAGTGAACTATGGTATAGTTCATCGACATACATCACGCGGCTCGGCACTTCTCATGTTTGCAGACGCGGAGACTGTTCGGAAGCCAAAGCCGGGTACAGAAATACCGACATAGTATTCGCTGTCAGCAGCTGGACGCGACCTCAGTCTCCAAAAGTTCAATAAATATTTCTTTTGACATTTCATCCTTTGATAGCCCGGGATTATCAAGATTGGACCGCAAAAATGACAGTGTGTTCTATCAATTTCATATTCTCTCGAAAGATCTTTATTCATGTCTACTTGCGGACCAAGCCAATCATCCACTCGTTGAGCCTGCTTTGGTACTTCGCTCTGGACCCATTCGTAGAACGTTGTTGGCTTCAAGTGAGTCTTTAACCACGGCAAGTCGGCTCCATAGCCTCTGTCGCCGATAAATCGGAACATTGTATTCAGATCGTTGACCAACCAGATGATACCTCTTGCCAAAAACCCTGTTGTGACCGGAACGCCCCTGCCTGTATGATTTATGAAAGCCGCGTCAACCTGGTCGAAACTGATTTCATCGCTTGCAATTGAGAGAGCTTGGTTTCGTATGCCGGTTCTGTCGGGCCTGACCAGACCCTCGACTGCCCATCTGCCAATGTCTTTGGTGACCGTAACTTGCAATGTCTTCCCTCCCAGGTTATCCCTCCATCCAGTCATGCACAGCTGGCCGGGAAATCCCCACCAGGCATTGTCAGCAAACCAAGTTGGGCGAATGATGGTATAGTCCATGTTATGCGTTCCGACCTCTTTAGAACTACAGGCATTTTTCAGGTGCCGTTCAATGTAGAACTTGTCTGAAAATGTTTTGCAGTATGAGGGGTCCGCGTCGCTCAGTTCGCGTCCACCGCGGTCCACAGATGAATACACGAAGTAAGGTATGCCGTAGGCCACCGCGGCGTCGATAAATGCCTTTCCGTCTGGTAGCTCGGTTGGTCCATGGGCTTGGGCGAGGAAGACTCCCGACTGACTCAACGTTTCTGGGTTGAGTTGTTCGAAGATGGCATTGGGGTTGCCCAAATCCCCAACAATAATGTTGATTCCACGGAACCTCTCTCGTAGGCGATCAGCAGCGGTTCCGGCCGGTTGTCGAGTGATTGCGTAAACTTGAGTTGGGAGAATCTTGATTTCGGCATGCGTTAACAATGCGTCGACAACGGCACCACCTTGGCGGCCAGTGGCCCCCAGTACGATGAAAGCTTTGATTTCAGACATGAGAACTTGGTTTCGCTGTTGAACGCGGACAGTCTTCAGGGTGTACTCTTGTCTTCCATCGCATTTTGATGGACTTCGTCTCGTTTTTATCCAACAACAGGATTGGTCCCATGGCATCCGGAGCATCAAGATCGTTGGCCTCTGCGGCAATGAGAGTGTAACTGAAGGGCTCCGAGCAAGGAGTTACCGCGCGCAACTTTTGTCAGCATGGGAACAGTCGTCAGCTGTGGCGCTTTAGCATTGGTAATCAAGATTTGACTAAACTAATATTACTCGGGCTTTCTTTGCTTGTAAGTCCCGACCCGCGCGCTTAGCCACCTAGACTATGCCTTTGCGGCCCCTAGAACACAATTCAGATCCGATGCGAGCTCGAAGACACATGTGCAGTACGTGACGGGTACTTTAAGGAGTAATGGTAGAGGGTTGATCTAGACACCATACACTTAGTGAACGGTTCCCAAATGAGTAGGTACTGAGGAAAGCCTTTCATGGAAACCACATCAACCAATGCTCCTTGTTTTGTGCGTTCTATATTCCTTTCCAAAGGCACTGTGTCAAATATTCATACAGAACAGTGATATATTTGAATGGGAATACAGCAGTTAAGAAACCTTTTGTCCAGAAATGTTTACAACCGAAGAAACTTTGACTTCAATAAATGTCATCTCGATGGGTATTGCAAAAGAAACAAGGTCTCTCACAGTACAAGTGATAGATTCTGCCCAGTAAAGATGTAAAGATACAGTGCACAATCAAAACTGCACCGAGCAACATTGGAGTTGTACCCCTCTACACTAGCCACCATAAGCCACTGCCTCTGCACAGCACCTAAAGTGGCAGCCCAATAATAGGGCCCCTTCTTTAGAATTTCGGTGGACCCCTGGCCCCATTGGGGCTGTCCTCCATGAGACCCCGCGTGTTGTGCTCCCTTCCAACAACATGACTCAACATGACTCAACTACCTACGGAACGTTAAAAGACTCAAGCTCACCAAGCATCTAACCGCACAAGACTCTCCGTTAACTTATCCAAACGAGACTCATCTTGCATTATGGCTGCATACATTCGAGTATTGTCAATTGATGACCTAGACCGATGCTCAGTAGTTGAATCAGCGGCTTTCCCGCCCGCGGAGGCAGCAACTCGCGAAAAGGTACGTAACCATCTCTGGACCGAAGACGATGTCGCAGACATCTTATTCCTCGCTTCTCCGTCCTTCATATTCCTACCTTAGTTTGACGTTTGAGACGCTGTCCTAGATCGATTATCGCCTGAGTGTTTGCCCCGACCTTTGCTTGGGCTTGTTTGTCCCCGAGAACTCGACAATCGCCAAACCTGAGGGAGATATCCCGGTGTTCACTGCTCCTCCAACTGGTTCCGGCAATGACAAGCTTATTGCGCATGTAATAGCGACGAAGTCAACGTCGCGAGTTGTCAAGGATGAGGACATGTCTTTCCCCCCGACCTGGAAGACGGATCCCACTGCCCAGTACGGTGTTGGTCATCAGGCCGAAGGAAGAACCATCGCTCTTCACTCGTTGGCTGTGTCGCCAACTTACCAGAGATCTGGATTTGGAAAGAAGCTCATGAAGTCTTACATTGAGTATATGAGGCAGAACGGCCAGGCGGATAGGATCTCAATCCTTACCTACGACAGACTCTTGCCTTACTATCAAGTGCTAGGCTTCACGCACTACGGCAAGAGCGCCTCTGAGTACGCAGGCGTTGCTTGGCATGATCTGGTTCGTTTCTTGACGCCATTTTACAATATTCTCCGATAGGAGCTTACGGACTTTAGGCATATGAATACTCGGCTGATGCCTAATTCATGTTTTCGTGATTGGCAGGACCGTTCGTTCGGGCCTCATTCACGTACTGCAACATTCACATGGCATAAAGTAGTAAACGAAAAAAGGGTTGGAACAAGCATATATCATATTTATTCATGCCTAAATAGAACATCCTCCCCTGATATTGAGAACAAGCAACGCTGAAGTGGTAACCTAGTTCTGTGAGTCAATACATTCAAACAAACAGAATCAACATGCAGGCGCCTCATCGCAGATGACGTACAGTTGGATGACATGCTACTCAATGCAGTCAATGGTGTCACAGCACACAGGTGTGTTTGCGCTGACATCGAAGCATCTGAAGCTGAGCTCCCCGCTGCATAGACCGTTCCGGGGTCCACATCGGGCGTTCACACCTGCGCCGAACGTGGCGAGGGCCAGAGTGAACGCTGCGACGATTGTGTTCGAGAACTGCATTGTGAAGCGAGAAAGCGTTGGCGGTGAAATGAATCGCAGTTGAGTTGGAAGAATGAAGCAGGCAAAAACGAAATGAGTGCACTTAACGGTTAGGTCGTGACAATGCAAGACCGACGTTGCCCATTTATAACATTTTCTGGCGCGTGCCGAGTATTTCGCAGAAGTCATCCGACCAGAAGCAGCCGTATTTACGAAGGGCCATGACTACTCCTGGTTCATTCTGTCTCATCGATGCTCGGAGGAGTTCATCTTGTAGTCGAGTCAGATGGGGTATTAAAATAGTTATTTTGCAATCAAGAATGGATATTCGACCCAATCAGTCCCTTGCGACTCCGTCTATCCTCAAGATGTCGCAGATCGCACAAAGTAGAAGATCGTCACGCCGGGAATGGTGTGCAACGACTCCGTAAGACCCAGTATTCCCTCCAGTTTCAGGAAGCCGTTGGGTGTGCCAAGCACAGTCCTGTAATCCAGAGGCAATAGTGCTCGTGTCTCAACATGATTTCCATGGTCTGGCACAGCTGTTTATAAGGTAGATGGATTGAGCCTTGCATGCGTGGTATCGCTCGCTCCACGGAACGGCTTTGGTAGAACCTTCAGGTACAGGCAGCTGCTCGGCATCCGTACAAATGCAAGTCATCGCAAAGCTTAATCCTAACTGCGCCAAGCTGCCGGCTATTGTAGCACATGATTCGTGTGCCCGCTGGCTCGTAGCGCCTCTGTTGCACGGGAACCCCCGCTAAGACGCCCGGAACTTTGACGGACACATCACTGTTCGTCTCATGGCCCGATGTCTCAGCAGGTTTTTCAAAAGCTCACGTGGCAACTCTGGTCTATGACAGCTACTTCATCCTCATGCAGCCGGCGATTTTGACACACCACCTAGCATTGCGCATCCCACGACCGACTTGCCATCATGGTACGAACGATTGACCTCTTGAATGGTGACTTTACGGTCCACATTGACCGAACGACGGGCGCTGTCTTAGAGATTGTGGACCCTTCTGCCGACATTCCACTCAACTGGGTCAGTTCCCCAGCTAATGCACCCTGGCAGCCCCTGGGAAGTCGCTGGGGACTCGGCTTCGCGGACCTCGGTGCCAATCTACTGCATCGGGTGCACTGGAACAGTCCGCACATCGAATCCTCGGCTGAGCACAATGCTACGGACGCCAAGTACTGTTACGGCCCACTAGAGGTCCTTGTGCGCCGTCGTCTTGACAGTCAAACTGGTTCCTTCACAGAAACCTACGAGTTCACGAACAGGGGAACATCACCGCTTAATCTAGCTGCGAAAGGCGAGCAGTCCTTGGCAATTTACACGCCATTCAACGACCACTACACCAACACCACTGATTCTTTGGAAAACCGGACGCACGCACATGTTTGGGCGCATGGAGGCTGTTCATCATGGGTTAAGCTTAGTCAAATGGGCGGTCGCGGCCGTGACTTAGGCCTCGTTCTGACGCGAGGAGCTTTGTCGGGATACAGCATTGAGTCTCGAGATGAAGTAACCCATTCAAACACTCGGGGCGTCTTTCTTCTTCACCCGTCCATGCCGGTGCTGCAGCCGGGCGACTCCGGTGTCGTCGAGTGGACCTTGTTCTGGCATTGCGGTTGGGACGACTTTTTCTCTCAATGTGCCCGTCGTTCGAGTCAGTTCATCCATTTCGACATCCCAAAACACACTCTCGTCAGCGGGGAGAGCGCCACTATTCGGATGAGAGGCAGTTCGAAGGCTGTCAACTCCACAACTACAGTCAATGGACGAGAGGTCCTACAGACGAAAGACGGCTTTCATTATGTTCATGATGCAGGAGATTTTGGCGAGAAGACATTGCGGGTTTCTACCGGAAAGGGGGACGACCGACGAGAATCGCTCATCTTCTTGAACACAGTCCCCAGCTACGATGACTTGATTCGAAGTCGAATCAGATTCATTGTCGATCACCAACAAGTCACGGACACCAATGATTTCTTATACGGTGCCTACATCGTCTTCGACAACCAAGCAGAGGCGCCCCCGTTCTACGAGACTCAACAGGATCGAAACGCAGGGCGCGAGCGAGTAGGGATGGGTGTTCTGATTGGTCGATGGCTGAAGAAACATCCCGATGCTAGATTGCAGGAGTCATTTTCGGCGTACTACTCCTTCGTATGCACAAAGCTTCAAGACAAGAACGGTTTCGTCTACGATGCGCCAGTTGGGACAGGTACTAGCAACCGGAAGCGCCTCTACAATTGGCCATGGGTTCTGCAACTTCACTTGGTAGCTGCTGCAATCGGTATCCCGGCCGTTTTGGGTAAAGCTCCCATGGAGAGGTTCATGATGACCCTTGAGAACTTCTATGCTGAAGGTGGCGAGTCACTCTATGCTATTGGGCTGCCCGTACTTGAGGGACTTCGAATGCTTCAGGCTTCGGGGGACGAGAAGTCATTTAGGCGAGCCAGAGATCTATTCATCGGGCACGGGCACAATATCCTTGGGCGCGGAACGAATTATCCCCCGTTTGAAGTTAATTTTGAACAGTCCATTGTTGCGCCTGCAGCGAACATTCTGTTTGAACTTTATCGATCAACAGGGGATAAAACTTGGCTTGATGGCGCCCAGGCTCAACTAGAGGTCCTTCTCAGATTCGCCGGAAAGCAACCGGACTACAGAGTTCATGACGTCGCCATTCGACACTGGGACGGGCATTGGTTTGGGAAAGATCGCATGTGGGGGGATACATTTCCTCACTATTGGAGTACTCTGAATTCGATTGCCCTGCATCACCAGAGCAAAGCAACTGGAGATGCGAGGGCTCACAAACAAGCTGACGGAATCCTTCGAGCTAACATGGCACTCTTTACCCCTGAAGGTAGAGGGTCCTGCGCCTGGATTTATCCCACGTCCGTGAACGGGAGAGCTGGACACTACAAGGATCCGTATGCGAACGATCAGGACTGGGCACTCGCCCATCTTCTACAAATCGAGGAAGACAACATCTTGTCGGTTTAGCACAATAGCGTTGTCTCAGAGGATCAGCTTCCAATATGCTTCTTGTTTTCCGTTCTCTCCAATATACTCAGACATAGACTTGAATTACGTTAGACTTGATTAATGTGTCTCAATCTGTTCGTGTCAATAGCCTGTGTGATTGCGGCCAACTCACTCAAGCCGTTATTAGAGACAAAGTATTGCCCAACGTGCCTAACACGTGCTACCGGTCGTTCTTACGGTTTGGCACACGGGACAAGTCCATCCGGGCGATGCTAAGATTGGAGCAAAACTTCCTGATACTTGTAAGAGGATCGCGTGTGAGACGCCTTCGACGTCTAGAGCTGATGGCTGATAGTTTGAGCGCAGCCATCAATCTTTCTTCCCTTGAATCCTGACATGGCTGGATTCCTTTTACAAGCCGACTTGAGAATAAGATTTGGGAAAGCGATGCCCGGCGCACACTTAACTGTGTGCGGTACTTTCTTCTCCAGATCGCATCTCATTAGTTCGTCGTCAGTGTAAGTGGCGGCTATTCACAGCTGTTGCTAACTACATCCGTTCAACTGACTCGGCGCTAAGTTGTTGAACTGCACTGTCATAGGACCGCCTCCAATTTTGGGCTTCCTCTTCTTTCACCTAGTTGTCTATGCTTTCTTTGATGACTTTTGGTGATCTGATCAAAGGAAAAGGTTCGTCAATCCTATTGTTTGGTTTCTTTTTTATACGTATCATACCGGCCATCACGTCCCAAAGTTGCTTGACAATGCAGGTTCACATTGATTTGCCAATCAAACCCTTCCAATAAAATGAGTGACTCACCACCGCATGTTTTCGAAGACAATTCTTCGGTGGCATATGGCGTCGTCGCCTTCTTACTACTTTTGTCGGGTTTAATGGTATTCCTGCGATCATGGACACGTGCAAAAATCCATCAATGGGGGGCTGACGACTGGGTAGCCCTTCTAGCATTGGTCAGTTCTCAAGTTTGCTGGGTATTGGCCATAGGAAGTTAACAATCAGGCAGTCAATGATTTTTGCTTGCGGAATCAGTATTACTCAAAGTAAGTTGACACGTACGAAAATCTCCGGCAACGGTGACGATACTCATAGATGCCTTCCTCTCAGTGACTAGATATGGGCCGGGGCGGCATGCCTCGACTCTGTCGCCAGACGATCTTGTTTTATACCAGAGGGTACGTAAGTCCATTTTGTGTATTTTCTCGCCAGCTGACAATGTGAAGGCTTTCTTTGTATCCCTATTTTTCTATATCACGACTCTCGCTGTTGTGAAACTCGTGTTTTTACTCCAATACTACCGCATCATGTCGGTTTCGAACATGCGTGTGGTTTACATTGCCATGATTGTGTTGGTAGCGGTCTGGGGCATCGGACAAGGAACTTTTGCACTTGTTGCATGCATCCCTCTGGAAGGATTTTGGAACCCTAGCGTTCATGCAAAGTGTGTTCCAAATGCCCACATTGCTTGGTACATCAGCGCTCTGTTCAACATATTCACCGACATCATCATCATGATTCTTCCTCTCCCAGTCATCCGGAAGCTGAATCTTCCCGGTTCACAAAAAGCTTTCCTTATTGGTATTTTCAGCGTCGGCTTCTTGTAAGTTGCTCTTCCCAGCGAGTCAACCTCACTTGCCAGTTTGAAATCTGACTGTGATTAATTATTTCAAGGACCGTGGCAATATCCGCTATGAGAATCAAGTTTCTTACGCTTTTGCCGGATCCAACATGGTCCAACTTCGAACCCGTTCTTTGGTCTCTCGCAGAGTTGACTTCGGCCATTACTTGCGCTTCTTTGGCTACCCTGCGGCCTCTTCTCACGCGCTTGAGCAAAAAACGCGAGAGAATTAGCGACACAGAAAGCGTGGCCCAAATGGTCGCAACCAATAAGCTTGCGGGCAAGTCTTTCCCACAAGTAGCCCCGTCATCGACAGGTACCCGAGAGACTGTGGTGATCTCAAGTAACGACATCAATCCCTCGACTCAGGAAGTGTGAACGAACAATTTCTACTGTTCTCCTTGATTTTTCAGTGATCAAAACAATACAGCAGGCGATGTCATATACTCAGTATGCATAGATGCGGAACGACGCGAGCACCTTAGCACCTTAGTTGTTATCAATTCTTTGAGCACAAAGCTATGTCTGATGTTTCTTGGAACAGAACTATTTTGCAATGTGATAAGCCTGCATGAGGACTAAAGTCGATTGATTATGCAAGCTTGGGTTGCCACCTGCCAAGAAGTAGGAAGGTTTTGCCATCTCTCCGCACGATTTCACCATCAACTCCGACCTACTTGGCCTTGGCTTTTACAAGCTCTGGTGCATCATTCATGAGAGTAGCATCATAGCTTACCATGCATAATTTGAGAAGACTGGATCTGAGACGATGTGCATTCAAGTGAAGAAAATACTTTGACAGCGTGTCTTGAATCAGATGTGGAACATGCACATGGTCTGCATCGAAGCCAGACAGACAGCCTAGACAGGAGGGACTGAGACATCGTCAGATCGACCATCATACCCAGGTCCCAAGCATTCGTCACTCCGATCACTTGATGTTATATACCATCGCCCTTGCGTTTGACGCCATTTGCCAAGATGCTCTCCGTCATTCATGGCCAACCACAAGCTGCACTTTCTCAATGATGTGACTGCAAAGTAGATTTGTATATGACGAAGATTCGAGAAAGACAGTCACAATCGAGCGGCAGTAGCCAAGGACGAATGGGCGTGCCATTTGACGGCTCAATGACGGTCCCAACAGAAGTGTCATTACAAGATTTAATAATTTGAAGCCTGCTCACCAGGCAGCGCATGCTACTCAACCTCTCGCTTCAATATCCGAACGTAGTTCAACACGATGGACCCAAAAGACAACGTGAACACCTCAGCTACCGCGTCTGTACTCAGCATGGGCATGCGAGTCGTGGACGAGAAAGCGACCCTGCCGTCGGACTCGGAGACAACGCGAGACATTCAGCAACGTATCCTGGAAGATCAGGCTGGTTCAAGCGCGGCAGAACGGCCGACAACTAACCTGTCCAGTCTCTGGCGTCGTCAGAACACCTCGAAAAAGCCCGGTGATATTGCGACTCAACCTTCCGTATTCGACGATCCCCAACTAGCGGTGTATTTCCAGCCGCCAGACAAATACGAGAACCGGCATCGTTTCGATGCGAACTTTCGCTGGACTTGGGCTGAGGAGATACCACTGATCAGAAAGATTGACTGGCGTGTGACAGCTTGGTCTTGCCTTGCATTTTTCGCACTCGATCTAGACCGATCCAACATTAGCCAGGCCAACTCGGACAACTTTCTGGAAGATCTAGGCTTGGACACGAACGACTACAATCTTGGTCAGACGGTGTTCCGAGTCTCCTTCTTGCTGGCTGAACTGCCGAGTCAATTGATCAGTAAGAAGATTGGACCGTACGCTGATACCCATACGCAAATGCCGCTCTGATGCTGCGACGTGCTGTTAACACGCAAGCCTAGCGATCGTTGGATCCCTGCACAAATGATCCTCTGGAGCGTCGTGAGCGCCTCCCAATTTTGGCTCAACGGGCGGTCTTCGTTCCTGGCGACCCGTGCAATCATTGGGCTGCTTCAGGGCGGTTTCATTCCCGATGTCATCTTAGTACGTCCACGTCATGTCCTAATTCAGCCACCAACGGCCTTCATCCGCTAACCTCTTGCTCTACTTTAGTACATGTCCTACTTCTTCAAGAGCACTGAGCTCCCATTCCGTTTGGCCTTGTTCTGGATGGCGAATCGTTTAACCGATGTCATTGCGCCGTTACTAGCGTACGGCCTTCTCCGTCTTCGAGGGTACCATGGCTACGAGGGATGGCGGTGGTGAGGTTTCATTCTTCCACTGCCGACATGCGGATGTTGACCGAGCTTAGGCTATTCCTTCTCGAAGGCGTACTGACGTTAGTCATTGGGATCTGGTCCGTGTTTATCATGGTGCCCTCTCCCACACAGACAAAGGCGCTTTGGCGGCCTAACGGATGGTTCACCGAGCATGAAGAAAAGATCATGGTGAATCGCATCTTACGAGATGATCCGTCCAAGAGCGATATGCACAACCGCCAGGCTATAACGTTGAAGATGCTGTGGGAATCGCTGTGTGACTACGACCTATGGCCGATCTACATGATCGGCCTTACGTTTTCTATTCCAGCCGGACCACCTGATCAATACCTAACTCTAACTTTAAGACAATTGGGCTTCGATACCTTTGACACTAACCTACTTAGTATCCCTTGTCAAGTTGCAACCACAATCAATGTGAGCAGAAACATTTTGGGTTTCTTCGGAACTTTCAATGAGAATTAACATCAATAGATGCTCATCTTGACGTGGATTTCAGAAAAGATCAACCAGAGGGCATTGCTTGGCATTCTCGTCGAGCTATGGCTGCTCCCCTGTGTCATTGCCCTTGCAGTGATCCCCTCCGGCGTCAGCAGATGGGCCACATATGCGTTGGTAATCGTACTATTGTCTTATCCCTCCCCCCATCCCATGTAAGTGTGTCAATGCACCTACCCTTTCTAGGAGTTTCCTTGACACTTGACAAGGCAAGTTGGCTGGGCGAGCCGCAACTCCAACACCGTCAGGACAAGAACGGTCTCGGCCGCGCTCTACAATATGTCTGTTCAACTTCAATCCATCATCAGCGCCAACATCTACCGACGAGACGATCGTCCGGAGTACCGCCGTGGCAATAGGGCGCTGGTCGGAATCGCAAGCCTCAACGTGGTGATCTACGCGGCTGCTAAGGTCTATTATGTCTGGAGGAACAGACAGCGAGACCGGATCTGGGACGCCATGTCACCGGAGGAGCGCCAACGATACCTCGATACCACCACAGACAAGGGCAGCAAGAGACTGGACTTTCGATTCGCGAGTTGATTTTCTGCTCTGTAGGATTTTGCTGGGTTCTGTGTTGGGACTTTGCTGGGCCTGCCTTATGGAAGTAGTAGTCGATGGAAGATCGCTTGCTGGGGGTCGGCATGTTATCTCCACCGGATGGCGAAGGGGTTACCCTCCAAATATCAGTGCGCGCAGGCATTGTTGGTTTAATTGGGACCAGCGGACATGCATCCGTGATAACCGGGCGCTGCTCGTACTTACGAACAAGGGTGAATCTGACGCAATGCGATGGCAAAAGTGGGAACGGACGAAGTTGACCGCGATTTTGGGTATTTGTCCGATGAATTCCGACAGGATGGGAAGCTGGGAATAGCGAGCTTGCTGGGAATAACAGCCAAGTGGGTGGGAGACTGGTGAGACCGTGAGGTGATAGTAAGTGAGGGTAACTGTCGACCTGTCAGACGGTCGGCGACCTTGGCACTGGGTTAATGAAACCACCGCTCCAATGACGAGGATTTGGGTAATAGTCTAAGTTTCGGCACCGAATTAGAAAAGAGATTGGAGGCGGCCACGGGGGATGTTCTTCGAGGCTTTGGACCCTGCACCATGTCATTTTAGAGTCAGTCAGTGCCTGTCATGAACTCATGGTGTCTCACCACTCGAGTCGACAACAAGCCACCATTCCACGGGAATTCTTCGAAGAAGCCCGAGGAAATGGTTTGGCTACGCACAAACAACAAGAGGGCTGAAGAGCCGGAGAGTGTCAATGGCTGCAGCCTACCACGCAAGACAGCCGATGGACGGCTTGGACCCGGACGGGGCCCCCAAAAACGGACGCCAATGGCACCGTAATACGAGTGGAGCGGACCGGTGAGACAATCAGTTCCTGAATCGAGAGTAGTTCATGTTCACGTTTCTTCTGACTCTCCCTCCCGTGTCCCGCGTTCCGCGTCTCCTCCCACATTGCCTTTTTCCTCCTTTTTTTTTTTTTTCTTGCCCGGCCTCCCAACACCGTCTCATTGCCGACGTTGCCACGGTACCTGTCACCTTGAAGACAATGTCTGTGCTAAAAGTTCTTTAGTGCACTTCCCAACATTGAACCTGCATTAGCAGCAATTTTGTTCTGACGGAGAAGCTCGCCTCCGCCCACTGGCGTGCAGCTTACCGTATTTGTAGATGGCTGCTTCGGTTTTGTGGTGAACAGGCAGATAATGTGGGCGGCGCACGTTTGACAGGCGGCTGCGGCTGGACACTTGAAGAATTAAAAGACTGGGTAACGGCGAAGCTGATCTTTTCACTAGAGGCAGTTGGAGGCGAAGTCTTCGCGTCTTTCGCAAAAAGAGAAATAAAGTGGCACCACACTGAGAAAACGGTTCAGTGTGAACAAGACAGGCTTGCTTGCATAGGGGATGCAACTAAGACGGTGCAAAAAGGAAGCATTCGCGACGAACCCCTCAATTGATGCCGGGACCGGTCCGTTGAAGATGGCCTCTCTTTGGAGGAAAGAGGATGCGAATATGCTCCTCTCCTCCGGGACCCTCTCATATGGAAGCCGTTAAGAGAAACAATTGACACGCCAAGAGCCATCACTGCATAGATGGAGCGTGCGAATGTCACCATCGCTTTTCCAGATGCGGGCGATTCATCGCCGCACTCGGCCCCCAAATCGACTCAACTCGTCGAGTTCCCTCGTCCTCCTCGTCGCAGTGGATTTGATTCCCTGTCACCAGCCTCGTGGGAAGCTGGTAAACTGTAAAGCGAGAGGCAAGAAAGGATCGGAAAAAAAATGTCCTGTCTGTCTGGTGTTTGAGGAGGGGACCCATTGCGACCCTCTCGTGGGCCCAAGGGACCCAATTCTTTTCTTCCCACGCGTGGTGAGCCCCTTGGCGGAAGGGATCCCCGAGGTTCGCTTTTCGGAGCTAATGCGGGGGAAGCCATTCCAGACAATGGGCTCGTCGGACGGTAACTGAACATGGCCATTTCACCGGCCACTAAGAGCACCAGCTAAGACCGACTTGGCTGATAGTGTGTGAGGCTGGATTACCCGAGATGTGGTATGCCCCATCTGCCGACATTTGCTGACAACCGCGGCCCTGAATCTTGAATACCTACACACACACACACACACACACACACACACACTGAGCCAAAGGCCCAAAGCCTCGAGGATGGAAAGCCGAGGGTACCTAGGGGAGAGGGGAGGGGGCCCAGCCAGAAGGATTCAAGTCCCGCTTTCATCACAGCCCAACGCTGAAGATCGGTCTCCCATACAGGAAAGGCTCTGGTCGAACTCCGATGGAACCTGCCGGGGGGTGTGTACCGTGGATTCCGCAAGATGCAGGTCTGCACACACACTTGCGTGTATGTGTGATGATCCAGGGGTGCGCGCACATTCGGCCTTCCACTCACGGCATGACTGACAGGGCCAGGCCGCACACATCACACGCAGGCACGCACGGCATGTTGCGTGGGAAGTTCCACTCCCAAATTCGGGGGTGCATATCCATATCTTGAACCGGTCCCTCCATCTTCCCTTCTCGTCCGGTCCCTCTTGAAATGGAGAACCTCTAGAACGAACCGTCCCATTTTGTTGCGGCTCTTCTCGGCGCCAGGTCCCTCCTTGGACACGACTCGTTCGTTCGACCGCGTTTACTAGTATCGCATCGACATCATACGACTTCAATTCTTTCGATTCGATGGCGACGGCCGAAGACAATGAGAACCGCGGCCCCGAGCTGTTCGCCGTCGGCGTGACGCTCGTCACGGCCGCCGGCATAGCGATCCTCCTCCGATGCTATGCCCGAATCTGCCTCGTCAAGAACTTTGGATTCGACGACTACTGCATGTTGGCTGCTATGGTACGGAGCCCTTCGCCTGCATCCATCTGGTTATTGGATCAGGACTGACAGGATTGTTCTTAGGTTTTCTTCGCTCTCTTCGTTGCATGCGCACTCACAGGTATTCACTTTGGAACGGGACGCCATTACTGGGTATTGGAGGCACAGGATCGGGCAGATGCAATGAAGGTAATATTTCTGATGGCATGCTAATCGTCTCGAGAATTGTTTGCTAATGGCTATTAGTTCTGGTGGTTTTGCTATCTCTGGTACTGTCTGTCGATGATCTCGTCCAAAATCTCCATTGGATGGTTCCTGCTTCGAATTACCGTCCGAAAGATCGACATCTGGATCATTTACTTTGTCATGTTCTGCACCGTCTGCACCGGCGTCGTCTTCTTTTTCGTTACTTTGCTTCAGTGCCAACCGATCTCCTTCTTCTGGGAGCAGTACACCGGCGCAACCGACGGACACTGCATCAACATGGACGTCATCATCGCCCTCACCTATCTCTACAGCGCTTTCAGCGTCATCTGCGACTTCACCTTTGCGATTCTCCCCATCATTCTGATCTGGAAGCTCAAGATGGACCGCAAGACAAAGATTGCGTTGATTCCCATCATGGCCATGGCCTGCATGTTCGTGATACCCCTGAAATCTTCGTTTCCTGGAACTCTCCACTGACCCATCCCCCAAGTGCCAGCGCAGCCGTCGTTGTCCGTATGCCTTTCGTCAAGGACTTCAAAAACATTGATTTCTTGTGTAAGTCCCACTTTCTTCCTCTTTCACTCACGATCGGGGCATCCCACGATCGAATTTAAGGTTGGTCAAGGTACTGACTCGCGCTCCCGCAGATGCAACCGTAGATATTGCAATCTGGTCCACCACGGAGCAGGGTCTGGCCATCACGGCGGGCAGCCTTGCGACCCTCCGCCCGCTGTTCCGCATGGTCGGGTACCGACTCGGCTTCACCTCCATGGGCCCCTCCGCCCTCCACGACTCGGAGCGCGGCAACCCCTCCGCCATGGGCGGACACCTCAAGGACGTCAGCAACAACAGCAGCGCCAGCCGCCACCAACGGCGCGGGCCGTTCAGTCTCACCACCTTCATGGCCAAGGACGACGCCGAGGCCCACGAGCTGGGCAGCAACAGCGACCAGGGCGAGAACCAGAACAAGTTTTCCTCGGGTAAGCGCCGCGTGTGGGAGTCGCAGGGCAAGCGCGACAACGAGAGCGAGACAGAACTGACCTTTGAAGCCTCCAAGGAGTCAAGTCAAGGGGGCGAGAGGGGGGCCGGCGACAACCGCGATATCGTTGTCGTGCAGACCTTCTCGTTGAGGGAAGACCGGTTGTAGACGTAAACTTACTGTACCTAATTAATGAACGTAAAATAATTCCACCAACTCATGCCGAGGAAACGGCCAAAGGGGCATAGAAAAGCAATTCAAAAGCACGCTCGTTTTATGTATCCTGGTGCAGATCTCTTGCGTGTTTGCTTGTCAGGACAGTGCGATCCATCATGTTCCGAGTGGACGCCACGAAGCTTGGTGGCAGGGCCGTGACAAGGGCTGGCTGCTGTGTAACATGCACTCGTTCGGCATGACTCAATGGAAACATCGCAACGTTGCCTTGTCTCGGGTGTCCTGCCAGTGCAGCTTGTCTCGGCGGCCACGAGCCATATACGCGGAGACTTTCGAATTTTGGCAAGACATTGAGATATAAGAGATTGCTGGTGCCTTGGAGCGAGTATCAATGGAATTTTGACTAAGTCATATGCAGAAATATTCTTCGAACTATTGCATTGAGTCCAACCAAAAAGACAGTATACGCTGCAGCAAGTATATTCACTCAGCTCTTCTACAATGGACGAAGAATTAGTGGGAAACTCCTTCCAGTCGGGGAGGCTTATCTTGAGGGCTATTGAAGATGACGAGGACGACAAGAGGTGGTTTCACGATCAGATAAAAAACGACCCGGTCGGGTTCGCACTCGGAGACTCCAATGTATTACGGCCGCAGACAAGACGCCGCAGCGATTCATTGCTTCTAGAGATTCAAGGTTTCCTCCTGGGCGTCATCATCTGTCTCCCCGCCGCAGACGGAGCAGCAAGTCCTCAACCTATCGGCGTGGTTGCACTCAACGATGAGGCGGGCGATAGTTACCGCCATCACCATCGCCTCGCAGTTCTCAGCATTTCCATCGCGAGACCGTACCGAAATCAGGGCTACGGCGCTGAGGCAATCAACTGGGCGGTCGACTGGGCCTTCCGAAAAGCCAACATCCACTCCATCAGTCTGGGCTGCGTCGAATACAACGACCGCGGGAAGCATCTGTACGAGAAGCTGGGCTTCGTTCTAGAGGGCCGTTACCGCAAGTCGCATTTCCACGAGAGACAGTGGTGGGACGTGCTTCTGTACTCAATGTTAGAGGACGAGTGGAAAGCATTGAGGGGACAGTAGTGGAGGAGGGGTTTCCAATGGAAGCCTGCGAGAGTCAATCAGGTCGCCCGCGTTCCATTTGGTATCACTATCATGATCTCGTCCAAACAAAGACCATTCAGATATCTCGAATTCCAAGACATCGCCCCATGTGTTTTGTACAAGGTCATGAATGGGCTCGAAGGTTCATGACTCCCTTTCGTTCCAGCATGTCGACATATTTGTTTACCGTGCCAGTCGATCACAGTCCAAAAGAGTTCAAGGGGCCCATTAGCCACATGAACACAATGCGGATGCGGCCTACCCACGGAACTGGCTATTCGTACTCATCTGCTGCGCTAACGCAGCCTCCAGGCGGTCCATTCGCATGGCTTGAGCTTTCGCAGACTGTTCCTGTTCAGTCATGCGACGGTTGAGTCGCTGCTCCAGCAGACTAACCCGGTTGCTCAGGGTGCTGAACTGTTGATCTAACGACGTCTTGCTTACTTCGACCAATGTCCTACAGTTGCCGATTAATGTGGTATTGGTTTGGATAGCATCCTCCATTCTCGCCAGACGTTCTTCAACAGCAGGGCTGGTTATGCTCTGGCTTTTCAACCCGCTTTCCAACTTGGAAAGCCTGGCACTCATGCTTTCATCCATGCTGTTCCGCAATAATTCCACCCTCGCCATCACCGACGCGAGATGTTTGCCTGTTGTGGCCAGCCGGTCATCGACCTCTTCTGCAAACTCTTGCTGCCGGTATTGTATTCCTTTGAGGGTCCTCGTCGTGACTTTGGCACTTGCGTCTACACGCGAGATACGGTCACCCGCAATCTTGATTCGGGTATTAAGCTTATGGTCTCGATCAAGCTGTTCCCTCTGTTCTTTTCGTCTTGCTGCCATTGATTCAATGTCTAGTAGGCTCGCCCGATTTTTGTTGGCCTCTTCACGTTGAGTCTGCCATTCTCTTGCTTCGTCGGTAGTTTGACGACATGATTCAACTTCCTTGCGTAGTGAAGAGAGGTCTGCAGCAAATGTATCAAGTTTTTCCAATGCTGTCTGGCATTGGGATGCTGTGAAAACGGTAAGATCATTGTGAGCTTTGTGGACATCACGGGAGAGGTCGCCAGATTCCTGAACAAGCTTCATCTGCTCTTGAAGCGCTCGGATGTTCTCGTCGTGCTCGACGGTCGTCTTATCAAAATCACCAACCGCCTTTTGAAGAGTGTGGAGCTCGTCTTTGTGCTCGACAAAGTTGGCTTCAAGGGTTTTGACATTCGCAGACTCGCTGGTAGTCTTTTCAAGGCTGTCGACGACAGTCTTGAGAGTATGGAACTGGTCCCTGTATTTGCCAAAGTCGGTTTCAAGAGACTCAACTTTGGTGTTGAACTCGTCGTTCGTTCCCTTAAGGCTGTCCACTGCGTTGGCGACTACTTGAGACTGTTCGCTTTGGTGGTCAACCTTGGCTTCGAGTGAGTCAAGCATGGCATTGAACACGTCGTTCATTTTCCTAAGGCTGTCGATTGTTTTGACGACTGCTTGAGACTGTTCGCTTTGCCGGTCAACCTTGGCTTGGAGTGAATCAAGCGTGGCTTTGGATTCCACGCTCGTCTTGTCAAGCCTGGCAGTCGATGCTGTTAAGGAGTTTAGGATATTCATATGCTCATTCAGCTTGGTCGTCGAATTCTTGGTGAGTTGAGCAACGGTCTCCTCCATGGAGCTCAGTCTTCCTAGATTCCCGTCGACTTTGGAACTTAGAATCGTGAAAGCCGCACTGTGAACACTAGTTTTGCCCAACTGGCTAGTCGTCTCTTCTGATTTTGCAAGTCTCAGTTTGAGAGTGTCAAGCTCAGCCCGATAATTCCCAATGGTCGTTTGTAGGTGACTGGCTTTTGCCTCAAGCTCTTGCAGTGACTGCGTCATGTTTTCGTCCGCTCCCGCCTTGCCTTGGAGAGATTGCAGCAACGTCTCCTGAGCGTGAGCAACAATCTTGTTGTGATGATCGTCGAGCTGCCTGTGGTAGTCGTCCAGCCGCTTATGATGGTTGTCCAGTTGGCATTTTTGATCGTCAATCTGCTTCTGGTGGCTGCCAAGCTGATGCGACTGATCGCTAGATTTCCTCTCAAGACCATCTACCCTTTGCTCGACAGATTGAAGCGCCTCGTTTTGCTTACCAGCGTCTTCTTGGAGTGATTGCAGTGCCTCTGCATGAGCATCGGCCTTTGAGGGGCCCGGCATTGTCGCCTGCTCGCCGACATTGCCGTGGGACTGAGGCGATTTGAGCTTCTTCTCGTGCTCGCTAACCTTTGTCTTGAGGAAACTCAGAGCTGTTTCTTGCTTGCCCGTTTTGGCTTCGAGTGAACAAAACTTGTCCTTGTGGTGGTCCGACTTTGCTTCAAGAATGCCGAGTTGTTTTTCGTGGGCGTTGGTCCTCATTTCGAAGGAAGATAGAGAGCCCCAATACTGGCTGGTACGCGTCTCAAGACTGCCCACTCTCTCTTCACTTTTGCTCGACTTTGATTCCAGAGAAGCAAGCCTGGCTCGATGATCGTTTGTTTTCGTATTGAGTTCTAGAAGTTGGACTCCGTGTTCGCCGGCCCTTGACGCATGAGAATGAAGCATACCAGCATGTTCTCCGGCCTTTTCTTCGAGATACTGAAGCGTATCTCTGTGCTCGCCGGCACGTTCGTTGAGAGAATCCAGTCGATCTTCATGCCTAGTTCTTAGCTCCTTAAGCGCATCACTGCGCTCTCCAGCACGTTCCTCGAGAGAATTAAGTCGGCCCTCGTGACTGGTTCTAAGCTCTTCAAGCTTATCTTTGTGCTCACTAGCACGCTGGTTGAGAGAATCAAGTCGATCCTCATGCCTTGTTCCAAGGTCTTGAATATCACTCGTGGCCTTTTCAATCATGGCGACCAATTGATGTGATGTGCGCTTCTCAGTGGGTCCAGATACAGGTTCGGAATGAGTTGCGTCCGCTTCCACGTTATCAAGAGCTGGACTAGGTGCTCTCGCCCATGGAGAGGGTAGATCGTCCTCTATGCAACGGCGCTTGGTGGGAGTTGGATCGAGCTCGCCGGGTTGGGGCTTGCGCTTCTGGGCAGGGTTTCCCTCGGACTCGATGAGCTCGTCGACGGTGACTTCCATGGCGTTTGGTGTCAAAGGCCTAGAAGGAGGAGAGGGCGGGGGTTGGGGGTCGTTATTTCTGGGAGGAGGGGCCATGGATGTTCGGGTAGACGACTGGTCACGGTCATAGCCAGTGCTCTGAGAGCGAGAGCGCAAGCCTTCGCCTTTGATTCTGAAGGGAGCAGGGGTGCCTCGATCTTCAGGAAAGCGACCAAGAGTAGGGGGGTCGTCAGGATCGATGAGGAGAGAGTAGTCGCCGTGTTGGAGGAAGCGGTCCCAATCAGCATAAAGCCTCTCCCATTCGGCGGTGATGTCGTCTCTCCTGGGCCATCTGGGCAGGGGAAGGTCGCCGCCGCGGGTGACCCAGGCGTCAATGAGGTCGGTCAAGAGGTCCTCATGGCGCCTTTGGATGTGGCGGTTGTTGAGGTATGCGTCGCGACGGTCAGCGTACAGGCTGACGATGAACTTGATGTCGGAAACATTGGTTCCAATTCCCCAGTTGAGGCGGACGAATTTCCAGAAGTTGTCATGGTCGAAGGAGAGATGCTGTGCCATGAGCAGGAGGCGGAAGAGGACGACGAGATTGACCCAGATGGTGCGTTTGCGATAGTGGAAATCCTTGGTTTCGTCAACGCCTTTTGGGGGCTTGTCATACTTGCCGCCCAGGCGTCTCGCGTGGATAGGATTGAGGAACAGAGCGTTGGACTTGAGGGGATCATCGGGCCAGGGGAGGACTGCCAGGGATACGCCGCTGATGAACCATATGTCCTGGGGGGTCCTCTGGTGGTAGTCTCGTTTTACCATTTCAACGGTGCAGCCGGAGGCTCTCCAGCTCCAGCTCCAGTGCGGGTGGCGTGGGATGAAGTCACGACTGGGTCGTGGTGGCGGTTGTTGTTTTGAGATTCATAGAATGAGATGTGAGAAGGGCCAGGTGGATGTGTGGAGGGACGGAGAGGATGGCCCGATTCGACGTGGTGGTGGTGGTGGTGGAGGTGTGTAGGGTGTATGGTGTGTGGTGTGGATGAGAGTGGGAGTGAGACATTGGAGGAGTCGGGGCAGCTGGTGTCGCGGTCGCGGAGGTGGGTGAAATTCTTCACCTATCGACAGGGGTCGCGGTCACGGTCGCAGAACCCGATAGCACCTGGGGACAATCAAATCAGCCCGCCTCGGCCCACGCGTCGCTGTCGCTGTGCCCCTCCACGTCCAGTACCGTATCGACCACATTGCTGCTGCCCAAGCTTTACCTGATGACCGAAGACGGGAAGCTTCACAATGACAAGGGCAGCACCTCCCCTAAAATCCATCTTAACTCATCCATCATACCTTAGGTAGGTACGGAGGAGGCCCGTAGGTAGCTCCTTCCATCGGCGCATGTCCCGGTCTCCGGCCCCGCCGTTCATCCAATTTTCTTCATTCCCCGTCTCTTAATTATGTCACAGTTCCCTCGAGACACACATTCTCCAACACACACACACACACACACACACACACACATGCGTTCGCTGTCATTGTTACACCGAACACGGGAAGCTGCAAACCGTTTGCAAACAACGACAACAGCCGGAATAATTACACACTAGTTACAAAGTGCCCGCCTACTCCATCACCAGCACACTCCGGAAACGCACCGTGTTCGAAATCATGTGCTCCGACGCCTTCCTTGCCTCCGCCAGAGGAAACTTCTCGACCATGCACTTGACCCCGTGTGTCGCCGCAAAGTCGAGCGCCGCCTCCGTGTCAATCTGATGTCCGCTCGGCCACCCGCCCACCGACTTGCCGCCGATAATCAGGTCCACCGAGTCCACCTCCAGCTTCCCGACCGGCGCCAGCACTAGCAGCTTGCCCCCGGGCATGAGTCCGCCAGTGAGGGGCGAGATGGCCTTGGCGTGAGGCGCCGTCGCCACGATCAACGCAGCACCCCCGAGCTCCTGCAGCCTCTTGACTGGGTCCTCCGCGCTGGTGTCAATGTACTCGTGCGCACCCAGCTTCGTCGCAAACTCCTTCTTGGACGAACCCGAGCTGAGAACTGCCACCTTGTATCCCATCTTATTGGCGTACTGCACCCCGAGGTGCCCCAGTCCGCCGAGACCCTGGATCACCACGAGGCTGCCGTGCTCGATGCCCTGTTTGCGGATGCTGTTGAACACCGTCACACCAGCGCAGAGGAGCGGCGCCGAGTCCGCTGGGTCCATGTTCTTCGGCACCCGCACAACGGCTTCCGCCCGGAGAAGCACATACTCGGCGTATCCGCCATCCATCGAGACGCCGTTGACCGCCGTGTTTTGGCACGTTTGGAAGAAGCCCTTCTGGCATTGGGGGCATGATCCGTCGTGACCTGTTGAGGCAGTCAAACGTCAGCAGATGTCCTCACTACTTGTCCCACGGGAAAGGACCTACCTCCGTGCCAGGCACCTCCGACCCGCTCTCCGCCCTGGAATCTTGATACGCCATCCCCAACTGCCACCACATCGCCAATGATCTCATGGCCGGGCACTCGAGGGAACAAGCCGTCACCAAAGCCTCCCTCCTGGACAACCACGTCAGAATGGCAGACGCCGCAGGCCAGTACCTTGACCAGGACCTGGCCGGGGCGGGGCTTCTTCAGCTCCTGGTCGACAATCTCAAGCGGTGCGCGCACCGACTTGATCACGGCCGCCTTGTACGTCTTCGGAAGTGAAGCCATGTTGGGTGCAGTTGGTGAAGTATGTGATATGAATGACTAGGTGTTGCAGTTGAAAATTCAAGATCAAAGTGAGAATTTGGTTCGGTAGTTAGTTTGACAATCTCTCGAGGCTAGGCCGGACTAGATTGTCTTTAAATACCAGAGCACCAGTCCACGAAAGGGCATCTGGGTCTATCGGTCACCACGTAGGCAGAGACTAACTCCAGCTCCAGGTTACTAATACCCCTCATCTCAACAACATCAGACAGTCAACGGCAAGGATCTTTGGCGCCTCCACAGGTAACGGAGACTCCGGCTGGACATGGGGTGCGAGCATACTTTGCCATATTCGTCTGGGACCTACATTTACGCGGTGCCTTATCGGGAAGATCTAGATCTCGGCGTCTCTTGATAGGCCAGCTGCTTATGAATCTTGCTCACGAACTGTCAGTCTAGCGCATGGAGCCGAGAAGGATGACTTCAAATGAGCTTTTTTTGACTGGTTGACCGGATATCAGGTCAATATCTTTTTGGAACCTCATAGCTTGAAGTGACGTCTGGTCTTCAGTTGCGGCCCCGTCCCGTACACTGAACCCCGGCGCTGCTCCACCTCCGCCGTGTGCTCCGTGGGCACCGTGGGCTCCATGGTCTCCGGGAACAGACTAAGTGTCAAAACCGCATTAGTGCGCGTGAGGTTTTGCTGTCCAACGCTTGGCATCGTCTCCAGATGTTCTGCAAGAGCGTTGTAATTCCGCGCCAACTCATGCATCTCCCCTCCTAACGCCGATGGCAGCTAGGGATCGCAGCTTGACGAGTGATGCAAGGTCCTTAGTAGGTAGCGGTGACAATCGCCAAGTCTCTAGATAAGTGAGGGGTGGCTTTGGTCGTCGAGAGTCTAGAGCTTCGGATGACATCAACAAGACCGAATTTCTTCATCACCCCTCAAATGAAGGTCCTACCACCGACGGAATAGCTCAGATCAAGCGTAACTCCAGCACGCCAACTGAAGCTAGTACCCGGGTTACAGCCTCGCTGCAACCATGTCGTCCGGCCCCAAGACAAGTCATTGTCAAATCCATAACGCCGTCAGGCCAGGATGTACAAGCACGCTGATCATATCCGTGGCGGAAGGGATCTCCCGGCTCGGGAATCGAGGCGTTCAGATCGCCTCTCATATCCTCCTTAATCCCGCGCGCCAATCACATATTGATCCCTTTTCGGGCTTACAGCTCACCTTTCTCCAAAGCCGACAGTCACGGAGCAGAGCCGTGGGAGCTTGGATCAGCCCCAGAAGTCCCATTTACTGATTCAATCCAGGTATGGTACGTCATGAACATCAAACCGCCAGCCCTATCGGACCAAAGTCCATCCCATTTGAGCTGATCCAAGCTCCGTCTTCCACAGCACCGAAAACTGACGCTTCACTATCAAACTAGCTCGCGGCTCGGTCTCAACAAAGGTCCAATCCGGCAATTCCTAATCCCCGTCCGAGACATGGCTAATCGACACAAACAGCGGGGTTATCCGCCCTGCTACGCCCGCCGAGCCCCTCCAAAGTGACCCAGAAACCACCTCAAGCTCCTCCATCTCCCACGCAAGCTCGGCCTTTCGCGCGTTGGAACAAGCCTTTTACTAGCGAAGGCATGCCGCGCGTGCATAGCTCCAAAGCCACATGTTCGGAAGCAGATCAGCGCTGCTTCACTGAGGTGCCATTCCTTTCTCCGACAATGGAGCTTTGTTCGTTCCTTCGACGTGGACGCGATTGGGATGACTCGCCCCTCGCGCTTGCGAGCGCCTCTGCAAGCAGCGTCCATTCCATATAAGACCCCAGAGATCCTGCCAAGCTCTCGTGATGAAATCCTGTACCGTAGACTTAATCGACAACCCCGACCTCGCAATCCTTCGTAGCATAAGCACACGACACTTCTCAGCAAATCCACCAAAAGAAATCCATTAGCTCTCAACATGTCGCTCCAAGATAAGGTCATCGTCATCACCGGCGGCTCCAAGGGCATCGGCCGCGCCATCGCCCTGTCGGCCGCCTCGCAGGGCGCCAAGGTCGTCGTCAACTACAGCAGCGACTCCTCCGCCGCCGACGAGGTCGTCTCCAAGATTGGCAGCGACCGTGCCATCGCCGTCAAGGCCGACAACTCCAAGATGCCCGAGCTGCAGAAGCTCGTGGATGCCACCGTCGACAAGTTTGGCCGCATCGACGTGCTCATCCCCAATGCGGCGCTCATGCAAATGCGCACCGTCGAGAACACCACCGAGGAGGATTTCGACATCATGTTCAACACCAACGTCAAGGGTCCTTATTTCCTGGTTCAAGTACGACTTTCTGTTCCTCATCTCTGATTTTGGGGGTTTATGCATCAAATACATCAAAGGCCCGCTGTGACTAACATGTCCCAGAAAGCGCTTCCCCACATGTCCGAAGGAGGCCGTATCATCCTCCTTTCAACGACCGTCCTCGCATCTAGCAGTCTACCTCCCAACTACCTCCTCTACGCTTCTACGAAAGGCAGCATCGAGCAGATGACCAAGTACATGGCCAAGGACCTCGCCACAAAGGGCATCACCATCAACGCAATTGCCCCTGGCCCCACTGGCACCGATCTTTTTTACAAGGACAAGACCCCAGAGATGGTGCAGCGGGTCACAAGCATGAGCCCCTTCGGCAGGATCGGCACACCAGAGGAGATTGCAGACGTCGCCATCTTCCTTTCTGGAAAGGGTTCATCATGGGTGACAGGACAGGTTATTCGTGTCAATGGCGGAACGGCCTAAGTTTGAGACTTGGAAAGTGTATGCTACGCATTCAGTGCTGGTGAAAGTATAGAAAGATTCCCATTGACGCCTGGCCTTGATTCTCCAAAGCCTGTTTGATTCCATCCATCGCAATCCCATGTCATCGTTGTCGTCTTCCTTGCATCATGCATGTGACTCTAGCTTTATTACTGCGCTCCCAGGGCCGCGAGCGCATTGCGAAGCTCCTTGACAGCCGTCGGGACGTCTTCAAAGTTGAGCGCGGAGATGGCCCACTTTGCATGCTTCTGTGCCTTGGGCAGATCCAAATCATCCATTGGCCCGTTGTTGGGAGTCCAAGAGGTGTTCGAGATGGGCACGACGGGCGCCTTGGGCT